TCCTAATACGCCCTAATATCTTCCCCCACCCATCCCGGGGAAGCGTGGGAAGCCCTATAAGAGGGATTCTACAGTGGGTTTCTACCACGCAACTAATTTGCGAAGTAGCTGGGACGAAACGGTTGCCTTGGAGCAGCTTCTCAGGGCTGCATAGTAAGAATCATCGGCTAGATGTTACCACCTTCGCCTCTCGCCTCATATCCATTAACGGTAACTTGTAATCATGATCCTTACCCTGTCTCTGCCTTTACCTCCAATTGTGAAACTTCACAGCTGGCAGCCCTGTAGGTGCGGTTTTATTTACGGCAGGTACCGAGCACGTCACTTGTCTGCCCGCGCAGGGAGCGCCATAGTGGTCGTGTTCCCTGGGTAACGTCGAGGGGGTTGGTGGCCAACGCCTCCTAATCGACAAGCCACCACAGACTTGTCAACCGGAGCCCCGGGGGGGGGGGGTAGATATCTATTGTGGAGGGTCGGCCCACGCACGAGCGCCGGCGCCGGACAGATTACCGGCCATCAGGGATTACGGCCGTCTGACCACCCAGACAAGGATCAAACGCCTGACCATTTACGGCCGTCTGACACCCAGACACGACCGAAGGATCAAGCGCTGGGGGGCGTATCCATCTGACCAGGGCATTTACCTGGGACGTCTAGACCATGGCGACAATTGAGAAACAGGGGGCGGGGTATAATCGGGACTGGGAGAGGAACTATGGAACGGGGAGGTATAAATAAGGAACTCTGGACGGGACGAGGGGAGAAGGCGGCCGGACTGTGAACTAGATAGCAGGGAGAAGTCAAAGTTGGGAGATGAGTGAAAGTGTAAGCAAGTGACAGACCAAATAAAGAACACGAGTTTAATCAGCAAATGTATCACTGGAGTTGTTTCCTTATTGATTACCAGATCTAGATGAAGTTTGTCAGATAGTAAGCAAGATCTCTTACACTATTAAACATATCTTAACACATTTTCGTCTATTGCCTCAGGCCTTGCAACCCCCGGTTCATAATAGGCTACCCTAGCTCAGTGTCACAAATGACTGGGGCGGGGGTACAGGACAGAGCTCCATTGTTGTTGAGGTAACTTATAGGATGGAAGGAAACTGCTGTTAATGGGGTTAAGTTAAGGTTAATAGACTCTCACATCTTGATATAACAAATGACTGGGGCGGGGGTACAGGACAGAGCTCCATTGTTGTTGAGGTAACTTATAGGATGGAAGGAAACTGCTGTTAATGGGGTTAAGTTAAGGTTAATAGACTCTCACATCTTGATATAGTGGGAGATTGTTTCTTTAGATAATAGTATGTTCGGGTTTTCCAGACTTCGCATGATAATTTTTGGGTTAACAATGGGAAGGTCTAATTGACCGGAAATTAGGGGGCATGGGTGTGTTTATAGATAGCATTCCTGGACCACCTATGGGGGGTAGAGAACCACATATAAGAGGGAGCTTTCACTGAGTTAAGTTAGTTGAGGGAGAGTGAACACAGGTACGACGAGTTGAGGAAGAGGGAAAGGAGCGACAGTAGTTAGTTGAGGAAGATAGAGAAGAACTACGGATTAGTTGAGGAAGAGAGAGAAAAGAGCTACGATAGAACTGAGCAGTTGTTAAGGAATACTTGCTAGAGACCAGAAGACGACAGATGATAGAAGAAACTTATATCTTAGAAATAAACATACTTTCATTATCGTTGGACACCTGGAGTTTGAGTTGTTGCATTTCGTCCAAGTCTACGTTGTGCTTTTGTCTGTCTCAACGCCTAGACACCCACAATATAAATCACAGAGAGGAGCGGTCCTGTACTGACCACTACTAAGTCAACATAGTTTGTGTTAAGTCAGGACCGGAGCCCTCCTCCGTAACCACCGTTCTGTGACACTCAGTAGCCCTTGCAACCAGTGAAATATCCTCTTCAACACCAGGCACACAAACATTGCAAATGCCATTTGCATGCATAGGAGCCAGAATGATCAATAAATTTATCGTAGGCTCTATGTATAGAAGAAGAAAATAGTTCGTGCGTTGAAATCTCCAACGAGCGCCTCCCCAGCTGGCGGATATGGGAAAGCCCATCAGATACGGGCACTGGGTAAACAGAATACCCGGGGCGCATGGGCGCCCGCAGGTAGCCCCCCGCCCCTGGATTGATTGGATAAAATTTTTTTAGACAAAAATAGACAAAAATTTTATTAAAGTAAAGAGAAAATAAAGAGAAAGTAACTAAGCTGATGTCCTGTCCGTTCGTTCACCACACAAATACGCTACAGTAAATCAAAACTATATTAAAACATTACTAAAAATTTTTTGCCCCCCCCCTCCCCTGGAAAGTTAATCGATTTTTTTGCCCCCCCCCCTAGAAAGTTTTCTGCAGCTGTAAGTAGCAGAACAGCCCCCCCCCCCCCATGCAGTTGCTCGCAGGGCTAACAACCCGGCAATGTACAAAAAAAATGTTACGAAAGCCTGGATATAGGCATTAGAGGCCGACCGAATTTCGGCTTCGGTTTCAGCGCAGAAAGTGGCAATTTTATCACTTTCGGCCTAGTTTCGGTTTCGGCCGAAACTGAAAAGTTAACTTTCGGCTTCATTTCGGTTTCGGTCGAAAGAGAAAAGTTAACTTTCGGTTGATTTTCGGTTTCGACCGTGGGGTGGGACAAGAGTGTTTGTAATCCGGAAACACTCTCTTTTTCATAACTCAGACAACCAACAAGAGTTGTGACTTGAGTGCATTCGCTTTCATCAAGTTCACTTCTGTAATCACTTCACTGAGAAAATATTTCAACCTTCGGGCATGGTTTTCCACCATTAAGGCTTGGCGATGAATAATGCAGTGTGTACCAATAATGTTTCGGGATTTTCCCTTAACTAAAGTCTGAAAACCAGAGCGGAATTCAAGCATGGAGCGCCGTCTGTACGCACGCCAATTACATGTCATTACACACGCCAACCACTTGTCAGTACACACGCCAATAACATGTCATTACACACGCCAACGACTTGTCAGTACACACGCCAATGACATGTCAGTACACACGCCAATAACATGTCATTACACACGCCAATGATATGTCAGTACACACGCCAATGACATGTCAGTACACACGCCAATAGCATGTCAGTACACACGACAATGACACGTCATTACACACGCCAACGACTTGTCAGTTCACACGCCAATAAAATGTGAGTTCCACGATGGATATCTTCTGTTAAAATAATTCCACAGCATAACAATGACAAAAACGCATTAATTGAAGGTCAGGAGGTAAATGCATTTAAGAAATGTAACAGTATTAAGTTATATTTATATATGCATGAAATTTACTTTATTTAAAATGTTCTTCTCCTGGTCTTCAAACTTAAAACCTGTTAACGCCTTAACCAAATCAATGTTTTTCACCGTATCACTTTCATTTGATAGTAGAGCTAGATCAGGAAGCTTTGACTGTCCCTTGGTGGATTGTAAATATTTCTACTGCCATTCTTTTCTTAAGCCTTAATCTTTTCTGTACCAAAATGCCACGTTGGTCTGATTTTAATAGTGTCTTTTCAATAGCATGTTCCACCAAGTGAGAGCGCTTCCCGTCAGAAACGATATTAAGGGCTCGAAGTCACCACTTTGTCAAGAGTAAAGCCTTTAGTCTGCAGATATTGTTATATAAGATTAACTTCCTCCAGTAGATCAGACCAAAGGTAGAAAATAAACGTGAAATAGACAGCTTATAACAGACAGTGTGCTGTGTAACAATCGTGATCAAATATTAAGGGGCGAATGGGAAATATTTTTTTTTTTTTTTTTTTTTTTTTGAGTATTTCTAGGTTTTGAGAAAACCTTTTATTTAAATTAACTATTAAAAGATATTAGAAAATTTGTATAATAATATTTCGTTAACATAAATGGATACATGTAACATTAAACAACTCAAGAAGCAAAATCAAAGTTCAGCGAGAATATTCAAGGGCATTTCAGATTAGACGAGGCCTAAGGAAACTCACACTTTTATGATATTTAACATAACATTAGATAGTTATAAAAGCACACATATTGACATCTGAGGAACAATAACAGGATACTTTCCGGGGGAGACCCAAAACACAAAACCAATGGGCATTCTCTGAAATCAACACCTTCTATATCAGGATTCCACGCTGGACAGGACACCTAGAGAGAATGCCAAATGACAGAGGAGTGAAGAGGGTAGGCCTACATCACCAAATCCCAGAGGAAAAAGCCTCAAAGGCAGACCTAGGCTTAGATGGGTGGATGATGTGGAAAAAGATCCACACCAGCTTGGAATCCAACCATGAAAAAGAAAAGCATTAGTTAGGTCTGAGTGAAAGGGAGAGGGGGGGGGCAGGCCAAAGCCTTACATGGGCTGTAGCGCCACAGGAATGGGTGAATAATTGTATAAAATTGCAATGTTTAATTTTGCAGCGATTCGATTCATGTACTTAGAATCGCCCGACCACATCGTATTTGGTATCGATGGAAAGCTTTATTTCTCAGAATTTAGATAACGACGTGCCTATTCGGACCTGACCCGAATTTGTGGTAGTTTATTTTAGGTAAACTTAAGAAGTAAGTTTACAAACTTATAGGCCTAATCCATTCAATCATTTTTCATTTGATACCAAATTTTGTCTTACAAACCCTACAATAATTTTTAGATATTATTTAATACACCCAAACTCTAACTTCTCGGACCCGGGTCCGAATAGCCGCAGCCGTCTTAGATATTCGTTTTGTTTTATTTAATTAATGTACTTTAATTAATTTTTTAAGTTCATGATTGTGTCTCTTTTGATAATATTTTTATGTACAGCGCGGTGAGCTAGGCTGGGGTACCGCGCTATACAAGACCTCTTATTATTATTATTATTATTATGTTTGTTATGTACAGCGTGGTGAGCCCAGCCCTGGGCGGGGGTACCACGCTATATAAAACACCAGTAATAATAATAATAATATAATGCGTTATTTGTACCCAGGATTTGTCAAATTTTCAGCCCCCCCCCCCAACTGCCCATAAGACATAAGAGATAGTCAAAGAAAGGAAAGTATTTTACACTTCAGTGTATATTTGTCCTAATTTTCTTTCGCATATAAAAATGTGTACAAATATTATTCCATGATGTTGCACGAGAATCTGGCAATGTCAGTCAACTTGCAAACAGCAATGGCTGCCCCCATGAAAACTTAGGATTTAATAATTAACTTACCATTCAGTAATGAGTTTGGACTTAGCATTTTAAACATGCTTGAATCAGAATTTGAGAACATAATATCTCTCAGCAGGTAATAACTTTATCGTTTGTGACTAAAGACAACATTAAACCTTTCCCAAGAATGGTATCCTAGCCTTGGCCTCGTATTTTGAACTTGTATTTGTATTATTAATTATTATTATTATTGTTTTTTAGCACTAGTATTCAGTAACTAGCAGTAGTAGCAGCACCCTTTTTTTTTTCTTTCACTTTTCAGACTGTCAGTAATAATATTAACCATTTAAATTTTGATTTGAATCATCAAAAAGATTCATTTATAATTACTCTTGGTCATCTACCACTTGAGTGTCCAAACGGATGAAAACATTCATAATTAATAATATAAATATAATAATGTTGTTTTGGTTTGAAGTGCTAGTGATAGTCCTATCTATCATCCTATGCCTATGGTTCATAGTAAGGGCACGGCTATTTAAATTTTAAATAGATAATTTTATGATCATAATAATATTCTTTTGATGATCCAAATAAATGGAAATATTTTTTGGCTAATACTAATACATAGAGATGTCGCCTTGATGTCATTTGCGTGTTTATTATAGTTGCAGTGAATTAGGGTTCAGGTTAGGTTTAGTTTAGGCTTAGGATTCAGGTTAGGTCTAGTGATAAATTTTCATATTCATATAGTTAGGTTTAGTGACAGAATTAACTGGTTGTGTCAACCAAGATGGCGGCCATGTGGTGACATCTTTATGCATTTATCTGTTTTTTTAATAAATTTAAACAATTTAATGTATGACATAAACAACAGATTTTAAGTTTATATTATATCATTGATCATCTCCACAAAAACGATTGCAGGACGCGCACTTATATAAACTGTCTTTTCAGTTTGTGCTTTGTGTGCATCCTTATATTTTCAACAGTCTGTATGTAGATACCAGTGTCATTCGGATTGACAAAGTTTTGTTGATGAACAAAAATGGAGTGTTAGTAGATTCCATATCATGTCAATGTCTGATCTGGTTTATGTTTGCATAAGCCGCCCATCCGTCTGATACAATAAGTGAGCCTGGAAATATATATCTCTCTATGCACTCCTGTAACGTGATCACATGATGGTCTGGCACTTCAACAAGACAACAGTGCCCATTAACATTCTCCCTTTCTATGTCACCAGAAATCCAGTGCTATTAATAGTCATTAATAATAAAGGAATAACTGTTTAAATAGCACTTCAAACTGGACCCACATGATTTTTTTCACAATGGGTGCTAAAGTGGTAGATTAATGTACTTTTAACTTAGTGTCTCTTTATTGTAATTGTAAGCTTGATGTTTCCACCTATTCTACCACTGTTGCCATCTTTGTTGCCATGATGGCATCTGTCATGGCTACCAAGACGGCAAGCGTGTAAAAAATAAAGTAATGCTATAACAAATGTCTGCTCAAATGGGAGGGGAAAGAAAGAGAATGTTACTGTTATAGCTTCTTACAGAAACAAAATATGAATAATTCATTAAAATTTAATGACCGCCCTTGCGTAATTTCAGCTGGTACGGTACATTAATTTTGTGGTGAACGTAGCAACTTTATTTGACCATGTACTGTTAATGTTTCGTACCAGGATGATCGAGTTCCCTTTTGTTTATTCTTGGATTGTTATAAGAGTTCACTTTAAAAAAAATTATTATTAATACACCAATGGAATGTTGTAAATATTTCATTAAGCAGTTAATTATGATATTTAAAAACGAGGTTAAATATTTTTGCACACGTGTGTAAGTTGAAGGGAAAGAGCGACTACAGGTCGTTGACACTTCTTGACACTATATATAAAGGGATACAATAAAATTGTTATGTTCACTATGAAATGGTGGAGCCTGGAATAAAGTGCTTAAAAGTATATTCTATGAAAATGAAATTTGGGGTTTTAATATTTTAAAGTGCTTTAAGTTGAGGGAAGGGGCAATTGCAGGTTATTGATACTTCTTACCAGATATCTAGAGGGATACAATAAATTTGCTACATTTGCCACGAAATTTATACATGAGGAAGGAAGCATTCATAGTGAATTATGCTTAGTGTGGTTTGGGATCTACCCATCACGTAATATGCTTAGGGCGCGTCTTGTCCTACCCATCACTGGTAAAAGAAGTTATCTAACTGCCCCTTATAATTTTATTTTAGAATGAATGTGGTGTCACTTTTTATTCTTTGTTGTTTGCAAAGTGTAGATTGCATGATTGCAGTCTGATACTGGTAGTAAATAAAAGTTATTTAGTAAGTTCACCAGCATATGCTTTTAGTAACTACCCCACAATGCACATGGATCACTTTGACAATTTTTGGTACAATGGAGAAACTTTGAACTGCAACTTAAAGTGATACTGGTATTAAGCAATATGTCACTCTCATTTTTCTGTGCAGAACAGCTGGGAATGCATCATAGAAAGCAATAACCAGTTTAAAACTTGATTCATAACATCCATTACCGGTTTGACCAAAAGTAATATAAATTAATTAATTAATCTCCCTACATCAATTTATAAATAAGCCTTATTCCATACTTTATTTGGTCATTTACGTTTAACACTTCACTACTGAGTTTCTGATGAGTGACCTCCCTTTTGTTAAGTAGCAGATTGTAACTAGTGTTAACTATTTTCTTTTTTAATAATAATACAAATAATTTTAATTGAGGGCTTTTTAAATAAGATTTCATAGCTTGGTTAATTATAATATTTTAAAGCAAAGCTATTTAGCTGGCATGAGACCTGTCTGTCTAATCATTTTGAAAAATGGATTTTGATATTTCTGGCATCTTATGGGTTTTATTTTCATAATAAAGAATGTAAAAGTGTATACATGGTTTTAGGGCTTATTTTAGGTAATTGATTTTATGTTTGAAGATGTATGCCTGAGTGAAAGGAGACTAAACTTAGGTTTCAAGATTTACACTTAAGTTAGAGTTTTTGCGTTCAGGACGTTTAGCATTCCCTTTAGGTAGAGTTGTAGAATGTAGGTTTGAAGGTTACTCTTTAAAAAATGTTTAATTGCCGGTACATATGCATTTTTTTTTAAAGCTAATTATTAAAATTTATTTTCCTTTATAAAATTTGTTGATTTTTAACTTTTTCCAATTACTTATAAAATGTTCTTTAATATTTTCACTCTTATGTAATGGAAACTTCAAATAATGTCTTTTAAAAAATGTGTTTGTTTAAAAAAAAAACCTTTCCTAATAGTTGTTGTAAGTCACTAAAACAAGACATACTCTCCTTTACCCTCCCCATTTTATGAGACACAAGCATGTTTTTTTTTGTTACTTAAAGATAAATGCTTAAAAAAATTGAGTCGTTTTTAAGTTTAAAAATATTAATGGAGGAATCTGTCAACATCTTAATATTGCTATATAATTTTTAAAGTAAAGGCCATAATTTTTTTTTAAAGTAATTTTAAGTTTTCTAATGTTATACTTGAATTTTTTAAAATTAATTATTGTAACTGCAATATATTAAAAATAACTGACAAAATGATTTTTTTTCCCCAGATGTCCAAATTATGTTTGTTTTCTACCCTTGATCTTGTATTTGCCTATTGGTCTTGCACTAGGCTTGATAAGGGTGGGGATCTTTCTTCATGTTTGCCTGCTGTCCTACATCTTACCTGCTAGTTTTCCATTTAAATGGTAAGATTTACATAGGTTAAGACTTGTTTTACGCTATCTATATTGACATCCTAATTTTACAGCAATATTTTTCTTTATGATTTAATGATGTTTAAAAACTTAAATACATGATCATTCTTTTTTTATAAAATTATTTACGAGTTCAAAGCAGAGGCAGTTTTGGGTATAAAATGACAGCATGGCTGCTTAAACTCATGAAAGTTGTTTAATTTTAATTTATCTGCAGTATAATTCTGCGGGCTATGTTGTCAGTTGCTGGTCTTCCTATATCTACTCAAGGGGCCATTCACACAGATAACAAAAAGAAAATCCTTATAGCAAATCATGTGACAAACTTAGATCCATTTATTCTTGCCCTACTGTATCCAAGTATTCTGGTAAGGAACAGCCATTATTGGTGAATTTTTCCATACAAGTAATGGATAACATTTAATCTGTTATTTTTAAATAAATGTGTAAAATTTACATCTTGTGTGATTGTATCAAAATTTAAATTAGTATTGAAACTGATAAAATTTATGAGAGTATCTATTTTATTTCTAAAGCATTATATTTTTTGTTTTGTTTGGTAGATAATCTGTTCTGACATTTCAAATTTCCTAAAGGCACACCTGTCTATTTCAGACCTTTGAAAGTTCCACATGGCCATCTCAGCAACATAATTCAAAGCAATTTGTCCTACCAACTGACAAAAGCCATAATGATGTTCTAAAAAATCTGAAAGAGAAAGTGGAAGGTATTATTTCAGTTAATCTTCTTTATTTTTAATTATTATTTTGCCTAGATGTACCATGTAGTTTTTATAAAATAAATCTTTCATTACCATAAGTAAAAATGACTCGATTTCACTTTAAAAAATATCAATGGAATTTGCTATAATTATAATGTTGATCTTTGTTATCTTCAATTGCTCCCAAAATCTATTTAACCAGAGCTTGGCAACCTACAGCACACCTTCCAGATGTGGCATGCAGTTGCTGCAGAGCAATTTTCAGTAATACAAAGAAGACCAAAAAATTAATAATAAATTACCTAAAAATATAGTAGATCAAGTAGATTTATAGGTTGTTGGCGCACTGAATAAATTAAAAAATCTCATATAGCACGGTATTACCAAAAGGTTACAGTTACAGAACCCTGTATTAATCTACCGGTACATATTTTATGCCTTTTATGAATGTTCTATCATTTTGGCTTTTAAGAAGATTGTGTCTGAGATTGACAGTAAGAAACCAATGAAATTTTTATTGATGTTTTTTTAGCTTTAGTGTTTGGACCATTTGATCATTATGTTTTGCATCTATGTTAAGGTCTTTGAATTAAATAGCAGTAAATAATTTGTACACATTAAAAGAAGGTTTAGGCTGGCTTATTGGTTTTTTTTAGACAAGGCTGTCACATTTATGCAGCTCATTTTTACAGTTAAATTATTCATCAAGTAATATGTTAATTATTTCAACCAGTTAGTAATGACACATGGATAGATTTTTTAATGTAAAGAAAATGTATGGATTAATGAAGTAATTTATTAATTTTATCATCAGAAAGCAATGAACCTCTACTTTTTTTCCCTGAGAAGATTAGAACCAATGGAAAATCTACTTTATTGAAGTTCAGGTTGATAGCAAACTTTTATTTTTTAAACATTCTGAGACTCTATATTAATTTAAGCCCATTGCTGTTGTCGGTTTTAAAAATATTAATGAACTGATGACAGTAAGACAGTAAATTCTTTTATTTTCTTTAAATAAAATGCTATTGGGTCTAAAATGTATCATTAACTAGATTGATTGTAATCAACATCAGTTAAACTGACCTCTAGCTCATTAATTTACATCATTAATCAAATAAATGAAATGTACTGTACATTCATATTGAAATATTTTATCTTAGCCCACTGCCATTTGAAGTTGATTACCCAATTCAACCTGTAAGTATTTTATAAATTACCAAACCTTTGTTGTCTAAAAAGTTTAGCGCTATGTCAACTAAATGTATTACCTTATCATGAGCAAAATGATGTCAGACAGGCAAGATCAGAGATTGGAACCTTGAAATCCTCTGCCTCCTCTCATTCTTCATATTTAAATTTAAACCATTAAAAAAAAAAACAACCAATTTTACCATTCTTACAAAATAAATATTGATGGCTTTTCAAGACACATTTTATGCAGTGTATGTCCTCATAGAGGTTTGTCTTAAATTGTTAATTATATTTTTCATCAATAGGTGACCATTCAAGTTCACAGATATCTCTTTGACATCAATGTGGTAAATTAAACGCCCTTGATTATGATTTGTTTTTACTTATTTGAAGTGGCAATATTACAATCTATTAACAAATATGCTTGCTAGTTTCTTCATATGTTTAACCACAGACCACAAGGTGCCACCAGTTATATTTACACATTTTGCTGTTGCATATGTTAATGTTTTGCTAAAAGTTAAGACTTAATGTTTATTGGTACAAGATAATGAACTGTGCTGGTACCGTACCTGTAATAATTTTCCTAAAATAGGTTTTGATAAATTTTTAATGTTCTTTCTGTGTTTCCAGTCAACCTATGCAAGTTCATTTTATGAGGATTTGATTTGGTGCCTGCTGCTTCCTGTCACATGTTTCAAGATTAAGTGGGTTGAAAATTATTACATTTAAGCAGAGAATGTAGAAAATTTCTTTGAATTGTTTATTGAGAGAGATGTGGTGAATTTCTATTGAACTTGTATTCCTGCATTGTTAAACCCAACATCTTTCTTATTCAAACTTGCCATAAAAATAAAACTTATTTAAAAACTAGGTGTTTACCCATTACGGAGAGGAAGAAAGATGAAAGTCGGGAAGACTTTGCAAACCGTGTTCAGTCCAACATGGCCAAAAGTTTGGGGTTTAATTCATCTTCTTACAGCTCCTATGATGTCAAGGACTTTATCAAAAAAAGAAAATTATCAGACAAAGGTAATCCTCGATAATAGGAGTTTAGATACTGGGTATCCAAAAGTAAGATAAACTCTGTCTTTATTTATGTTAATATAGATCATAAAGATAAATTTATATCCTAAAGATTATGAGCTATAAGATTTCATTATGTGATGTCACTATAAATAAGTGGTTTGCTGTTCATTCTTAAATATTATAAAATTAGAGCACATATTATCTTTCTATAGCAATGGTATTTTCAATTCATCATTGAAATATATTATAATTTTATTATTATTTTTAAATTAACATATTCCATCAATTGAAATTTAGGTTTGGCAAATTTTCATAATTATTGTGCTTCCGGTAAAAAAAATTTAAAAATGTAGATATCCAGCCTTGTGTTTTCTTGGTCCAATATGTGTTAATGTGATAAGGAAGTTGCCATTGTCAGAAGCTACCCTTTAAAAAAAAAATTCCACCATTTTGATATTGCAGCATTGCAACATGAGCAGAAACATGAAGCTCCTCGCCCCAAGCATATCACAGCAGAACCTGTTAGTGAGGATGATGAGCTGCAGCGAATGGTCAAACAAGTCAAAGATGTTCTCCCTGACACACCCACACACAGTATTCTCACTGACCTTAGTAAGTTGACCATTGGCATTATTCAATCATTGGGTTCTGTCTTTAATGTAGAAAATAAAACACAAGTTAATTTTTAGATGAGTTATCTAAGCATTTTTTTCATTGAATGCCCTTAAAATTTAAAAAGTAAACAAAACATGAGCTATTTGTTTTAACAAATGCATATAAAATATACTAAATGATGCTGTACTGACAAAAAAATTTTTTTAAGCTGGTGAAAATGTTCCTTGTAATACCGGTACTAACAGCCATTAGAGCACTGGGCATAAGTTACAAAAACACATTACATTTTTGTCAAGAGATAAGAGATGCACAAGAAATTTTTAAAGACGCTTTTGACTAGGCAATCTGGAGCTTACTATTTGGTGCGCTCTTTAAAACCAATTTTTTCCCAACTGCTAGCTCTCATCATGACATTCCAAGAAAATAATCATTAAATAATTTTCCCGGTCATGTAAACCAGGAAAATGGGCAATCTGGTTTGAAAATTTTCCGGCTAGGTCTGCTATTTTTTAATTTGAAAAAAAAAATCAATATATTAGAATTCATTGAAAATTAATGTCATCTATTTTTAGCCCTTCTGTTATCAAAAGAACATTGAAACAATGCTAGTCGTTTCCCATTAACTGCTCAGACTTTGTCAAAGATCCAGCTTTACCAAGGGCTACCCTGGTTGCTTGGGGCCATCCATATATTAATAGGGTGGATGGGGAGAGCATTGCTGTTGACTATTCTGGCTGAAGAATAGAAGTAGAAGCAATTAAAAAGTTTCAAAATGAGCTAAGAAATGCAAAGCAAAAAAAAAAAATGGCAAAAAGACATAATTTAAAGCACCGGTACTCCTGCATCAGGTGCAACAGAAACTGACACACTAGAAACAGACTCTCAAGTCACTCCCATAGGTGTTAATATTAAACTACACTATATCATCTCATGAAGACAGATAGAAGCTAATTAATTCTCAACTCACCATTCATATTATTGTAAGATTTGTGGATCGATCAACATGTTTATTTCCATTTCAATAAGCAACATTTATTAATTATCAGCCATTTGCCGAAGGCTGTAATTGAAATCACTTTTGGAAAAAATAAGTACACAAACTCAAAGTAGACCTAGACAATGACCATACTAACTTATGCATTTTTAATTTCTAGAAAAAACAAGGGATGTGGATGTTACGATCACCAATATCCTAGAAGGAAAAATCAGTCCATCAAAACCAGATGTTGCCGTACCACGTTCCATGGTAAGATGATCCATAAAACTCTCAGGACACATTAGATAAAAACAGCTAACTTATACCATGAAATGAACAATTTGCTGAAGCACTAATTCTTTTTTTTTTTGTTTACCTTTGATATTTTGCAGACCCCTGCATATTTCATCAACATTTTCATTATGTTAATTAAACCATGTTAATGCAGCAAAAATATAATTTTAATGAAAAAGACTCCAAAATAAATTTGACTGAATTTTTTAAAAAGAAAATATGACTTTGAGGAAAGATTAAGAGCCAAAGATCTGTGGTGCATACATAAATAAAAAATTTTATTATTATTATACATAGCAGTATTAGCAGTGGGGTCAGCAGCCATTTATGGCAAGGGTCTACAAGGAACGCATCCCTTTTGATGCTAGTTATTCATCACTATTCCCTTGAACTATTGAGATGACATATTCAAAATAGAATATGTTATTGTTATTTACCTTTTTATTAGGACTGAAATAATTGCCACCATGTGTCATGTATTCAATTGAAATAACGATAGAAACAGGGTAGGAATCATAATTACTCCTATGTTGCTGATGACGGATATGAGGTGGGTAGTGGCAACCTCATTTGTCACTTAATTGTCACATTGGAGATAGCATTGGTGGGTCGTGGAGCACAAGCTCATAATTACCACCCCCCCCCCCCCCCCATGCCTGGCCACCAGACCACGCGAAAGCTCGCTGGGAACCTCCCCCCTGGCCTGGGGACGTCTGGTCGACCAAAAACGCTGCGTTTAAAGCGTTCACAGGCCACTCTCCTTGGGTCTGAGCGGCTTTGCTTTCTCTCCTGGGAAAAAGTGTTGCATTACTCCCTCCACCACCCAGGGAGTTGTACGGCTAGGACGAAACGGTCGCCTAGGAGCGGCTCTCTCAGAGCATCGTAGTTAAAATCATCAGTATGGGTTTTAACCACCACCCAGACCTCATATCCATTAACGGCAACAAGGAATCATGTTATTGCTTACTTCCGTTGCGTTGGAAGTCATGCAAGTGGCCCGGGTTTTTAAGCTCGGGAGGACAGAGCCTCCCTACTAGTCTACAACGCCACGAAGAGGCAAAACCCCATGTGGAATCCTCCAAGTTTCCTCGAAGATGCTCCGCTTCCGTGGATAGGGCAACCTCATTCAAATGATTCTATACACACAGCCATTGAGGAAGCTCTTCCTAGGCAACCTCTTCATCCCAGCTTCCTGGTGAACTATTTACTAGGTAGAAACTCACTGTAGAAAACCCTAGTGGAGTGCATCCGACGCTTCTCCGGTATGGTTGGGGGAGATATTAGGACAAAAATGTGGCATCCCGACCCCGGGGAAAGTCAATTGGACTGGATATCCTTGGGCTGAGATTGCCCCCCTAAAGCTAGTCAAAGGAGTGAAGGTACGGGCATGAGTTGACCTAGCAGGAGGAGATCTCCAACCGGCCGCTTCACAGCCCGATATTTAGGCGAATTTTCAAGGGTTGCTTTGGGGAGGGCACTAAGAGCTTTGACTTGATGGACTCCAATTTCTTAAGTACATATTAGGATTGAAAGATAAGAGGACAGAAATATTACTGCAGAGACAGTTTGTTAATGAGCACATATAAAAAAAATTTTTTATCAACAGCATGAAAGCCTTTCCTTTAAAGCCAGTAAATTTGAGAGTCTAGCTTTGGCACGACAGCTGTCGTTTGCTGAACGTAAGCAAGCTATGTTGGAAGCTGCAAGACTGAAGTACCGAGTCAAACATGGGCTTTAATAACAACATGGAAGAAAACAATCATCCATTGGAGAAATCACTTTCTTTGAAATAGACAGTTATGTAAAATATAAATTTGGTAATAAGTATGTCAAGCAAAATATCTTGTAATAAAAATTAAGCATATGTTTTGATTTATATTTATTCTTATTACTTTATTTTTCATTTACAAAGCTTTGAAGAATTTATTGTGGTGTGTCCTTTTATAATTGTAATACTTAATTAATTCAAATTAAAGAGTTCCAAGTTATAGTTCATGAAATTTTTTAAAACGATAAAATGGTTAGATTGGTGTACAGTACAAGTAATGCAAAGGGCATCTGGGCTGGGAGTGCCTTATATTTTTCCTTGTGTTTTTAGATCAGGAATTTATATATTTAAACTTTCTTTAATAATTCACTAATGCATAGGCTTATTTATGTGTTAGTAACTTCATGTAAGACAAAACAAAGTAATAATGGTTTTGGCTATAAGCCATCTTGAGCAAAAAACATGCATTGGAACCTGTGTATTTGTTAACCCAGGGCTTTTTAACTCATGTGTGGCAAGATTTTGTTGTAAAGAACAGAATTTAAAAAATTTTTTGGGGGGGATAATAATTTCCTTCATTGTTGCTCACCACCAAAACAGCTGATTTTTTAAAAACAAAGTACGTGGTGTGTCGCAGAATTATTGCAGTTAGTTACAGTGATTGTGTCATAAATAAAAGAGGAAAAGATTATTATCCATCAGATATTATACATATATCGGTATGTATATGTATATACACATGCACACACATGTATTTATGTTTACTGACATAAATTAATATATTTATATTTCGTACATAAATCTTCAACTTAGTTGTTCACTGACATAATTTGTTTTTTTGTTGCATGTGTCATGGGGCACTTGGGTAATAAGGGGAGAGACTGCAATCAGGTTAGCACAATATGAAATGAGTAAAACAAATGAAAGGTTAAACCTGAAAAAGGAACGTAACAAAACAACGAACGTGTCGGCAGGAAGCCTTTCGTCAGCGAATAAAACAACAGAAAAAACAGAATAAAATTAAAACTTAAAAATAGCACTTAGCTTAGAAATAGTATCTGAGAGGGCAGCAAACGAATTCATGGCAACAAAACATGAAAGGCTTTGCTCAACAAAATATTATACTCTCTTTATTTCACGCCAACCTAAATTATTATTGTTCAGAGGTTGCCAATCCAAATACATCATGTTGGACTTTGTCAAATAGGCTCTATGTGCCCATGTGAACTTTATGAAATGAAGATAACTAAGGTAAAATCAACAGTGCAAAGCAAAATTTGCTGATGGTTAATGAAAACATTTTTATTCACTTCAATATCAATTGTGGTGCTATTTAAAATAGAAAACATTAAGACAGGCCAAACATATTCTTTTTCTACATTTGGTTTCTATACTTTGAAAAAAAATATGTAAGTTATTGTAGCCAAACATTGACTAGTCAAGTTATTCCACTTCTTATTCATCCCAAATTTTGTTTTTATATTAAAAATCTTTCCGGAAAATGCCCCAGGATCTGCTGTAACTTGTGAAAAGGAAATAAAAAAAAGCCACTAGCTCAGTTTTCTTGTCTTATAATCAATGGAGACTGGCTACTTTTTCACAGCCCACCCTGTATAAACATATTTGACTTTAATTATAAATTCATTATGTTGAAAATGAATTCCCTGTAAGATGTTACCAAACATGTATGGGTGTACAAAAAAAAATATGTACACAAGTAAATTTCAGACAATAATTGCATTTTTTGTGTGAAATAAGTATAGCCTAAGTACAGTTTTGGAACTGGGCAAAGCAGAACTCATCACACAGATGTGTGCTTTGCAACACGCACCCAAATTTCAAATACAGTTTAAGATCTTTACCACACTGGGCCTCTGTACCACACTGAAAACAATTTTTTTTGCATCCTAGGTGGAAAACTCTACAATGTTCCACAAAAGTTCCAGGAACATCAAAACAACCAGCAGCAGGGACCTCCAGTTGTTCCCGAAATGGGAAACTGGCTTTGATATGTGGTGGGCCATGCCCTGGTAAAAAATGTATGCTACCTCTTGCATAAAACATTCATTAAGTGGAACTCTCCACCTCTTGCGACTGTTTCTGCCAGTAGGATAGCATACCAGTTGATCACGTATGTCTACACCACCCATATTGGCATCATAGATCAGTACAAGTCGTGTACTTAAGTTCAAAAAAAAAAAAAATTGTCAAAATAAAAATGATGTCTTTTAGTTTTATTTAAATAAGGTTCCTAAATTTCTAATGACATTATAAACAGTTAATTGGGCATAACAATGTCAGATTACCAATGTAAAATTCAAAGTCCACAAGAGATGTTAAAGTTGAGTCACAGCAGCACACACTTTTCACCCAATGGGTAAAGCTTCCTTTCAAACATTGCTTACCCAATGGGTAGGGCTTCCCTTTCAAACATTGCTTAAACTTAAAGGATAGCAAACCTCTGAAAGGAATCAGTGCTTTATCAAAGTCCTTTGAATGAATAAGTTGCCTAACACTATCAAGTGGCGCTAACTGTGAGCCTTGATGTCTAAATCAAACAGTTCTTTGATATATTTATAGAAAGTACAGTTTGGGTCTTGGGCAGCATCACTTAGTTCCAAAACAGAATCCTTTTGGAAAGAAACCAATATTTCTCCAGACTTGAGCCCTTTAAGAATATTGGATTTAGTTTCATTGGCTTGCTTGCTGAGCTGCTTCAAGTCATCCAGCTTTTGACCAAGTTTAGCTAAAAGGTACAAAATGACATTTTTGTAAAATCTTTATTATTATTTTCTTTAACAATGAAGTGTATAACTCCACAAAGTAATTACAATTATCATCACAATGAAACCTGTGAATGGAACAAACCCTGAGCACTGAAGCGGACATGGTGCTATTGGAGGGAAGGTGCTATTACTATTTGCGGGTTCAGCCATAACAATGATCATGCAACATAACTTGAAAGAAGAGGACATCTGCACATTGAAAATAATAAGAAATGAGAAAAGAAACAGAAAGTGCATGCATTTACATGAATCAATCAATTTAATTCTCAAGATATGAAAGAATGTATGGTGTAATGGTCAATAGTGTGCAAAATAAAGTTTCTGATAACTAAGCTATATGAGATTCTCAAATATACAGCAAGTGCATCTGGTGCATAATTTTTTCTTTTGGTTTTGAACAGTGCAGGTAGTCTCAATTTAAATAAGATGTAATAAATCTGCAATGTAAAAGAGGGGTGGGACATAAGAATATAATATAGTTTAGGGTGCAGTGGCATTTTGAGGGGGGGGGGGTGGTAAGCACTAATTGGGATTCTAATAAAGTGCATTACTTATTACTTGCATGCATGTTTTGTAGATGGGAAGTTCACCAATTTTTTTTCGGGATATAACTAGTGTATAATAACCACAGAACAATGAGACTTGGCATATGAGACTTAAACATTCTTCATGCAGTTCAAGTACATGTAGCCAATAGGTTTTGACAAATCTGTTATGAACAACTTAACACTAGATTAAATGTGTATTGCAGTAATATCGTTGTCTTGCAATCACTATGTGTTAGGAAGATTTACACATGATAACCACAGTTCATTCACAACCCTCGTGGCATAACTAATGACAAAATGCCGTTTCATCATGACTTAAGAAACACACAGCTTGATAGCAAGCAGACAGATTAGAGACCCAAAGGGTCTGCGCTAGACCTTGTGTATGATGTAATTCTGCACCAACATGGTGAGGCATGTGCTATTCGCATGGGTAAACACGCTTTTATCCCATAGAACCCTTGTGCATTTCATGTTTGACAGGATTTGCGCTACTTCAAGGTGTTTTTTTGTTGTTGCGTATTTGCTATTTCAAAGTACCCGGTACACTATTCACTGGTTTCACTTTACATATTTTAATTTGATTGCAAGGAGCAAAAGTCAATTTTTGTGTACCGGTACCATCCTTATGAAAATAGTTTCAGTGAAAATTATGTTTGAGCTTACATTTAGCTAACCATGCTGCAACACATTTCCTCAATATGAGATCAGCTTGATGAATTAAACTTGAAGAGCACTGAATGCGATTTTTTGAACTCTCATCCTCACACGATGGTTTAGCAGGTTGGACAGGATTAATAAATGCCTTTTCTATACAAGACATTATCTGTTCTCTGTAAGGGAAAGCGAAATTACATTTTGATAATGGAAAAAATTATTTCTTCTCAATTACTTTATTAGAGTAGAGCTAAGTAAACAGATGTTTCATATTAGAATTGTAGCAAACCTGTGAGAAAAAAAATGTATCCTCTAAAAGAAAAGAAAAAATTCTGCTCCCAGCTTACTACTTTAGAACATAAAGCAAACAGTCAGGGCAGCCATGGAAAATAATGGCCCAACTTGGGAATTACCCAGAAGGTAAATTTCCTGGAACTTCTCCTAACCAAGCCGATATTGAAATTTATGCTGAAGTGGACAGGGTGATGTCTCTTTTGCTAGTCTCTATGAAGAACCCTGCCCTAGCCATTTCTCCCTTCATAACTAGTCGGAAGGCTGACTTCCAACAAGAATCGAATCATCCTTGACACATATGTGTGATCAAAGTCCACCAAGCTTAGCATGAGTAGCAGTGTCTACAAATTAACCCAGCTTCCTCAGGCTTTCAGCATCTCCAGTTTCACCTTGACAAAGAAGCTACTAAAGTCAGAGTAATGCCCCACAGAAGATGCATGTCTTAGAACTCTGTAGTCTGCACCTTGCTAAACTATTATATGTCTGCTATCAGAGTAGAGCTCAAGAACAGATGGATGTCTTGTTCAACCAACTAAAATAAAGCAAAATAGAATAATGTATTTTTAGTTTAAAATTAAAAATATTATTTTTTCACTTGGAAGAGTTTAACCCTTTACAGTCCAAGCCTATTTAGCCTTGTCTACTCCCAACGCCCAAGCAAGGGGACATAACTACATTTTAAATGAAGGTTCTTTATCTAATTAATTTACAGAAAATAAACTAGAAGTAAGAAAATAAAATACCTAAATAAAAATAAATGATTTAAGCAAAATTTAAACCTTTAAAGAGTTTCAGCGAGCCTCCCACTTTGATTTGTGAAACATTCCCAGACCACTGATGATCTTGCTGACCAGTTGGAGTGGAATTGAGATGTCCGTTGTCATCGATGTCTCTACTATTACTATTTTCTTCACTAGTATTTAAAAAAATGCCGACAAGGCTTTCTAATGGGCAATGGATTTCCGCTGTGAACGAAAGTAAACAACCTCAAAACAGGCGGGTTTGGCCGCAATGGACTGAAGGCTTAAGGAAAAAATCGGCGCATTTTGGGCGCAACGGACTGTAAAGGGTTAAAATTGATAAATCATAGTAAACTGTAAAAATGACCTGATTTTAGAAACATCGGGTCTAAAACAATGTCTAACCTATGCTCTTGCCTTTTAACTTTTACGAAATAAATCTGGCCAGGAGTACTTACAGCTGTGAATCACTAGATGAACTGACAGTCAAGCTGAACTCTTCCCAATTGTTTTTGTCGGGATCTGGAACCTGTAAAGTGGTAGACATTTTAAGAATTACATCATCTGGAACTTTTTTGGATCTTTGCTGGTTCCTGTCAATAACATCCTCAATTGGGACTTCCATGAATATTTGACAAAAGCCTGTTTCATCTGAAAACAGCATTTTTGAACTGATTAGAATTAAATTCGTTTTAAAATTCACATTGAGATCCTACCAGTTATAGCGTAATGACAAGTTATTAAATTTTCTTTTGTATTGTACTATTTTCAATCATTAGTTTAGTCCCAATTTAACTTTTACAATTTACCACATGGTACTTAGTAAATGCAGTTGCAAAAGCAAATAAAAAAAAAAAATTTAAACACTAATTCAATGGATAGACTGGAACCTCGGATAACAAACTTAATCCATTTTGTGACTATGTTTTTAAACCAAAACATTTGCAAAACCAAAATAAATGTTCCAATTGAAATTAATGTAAATTCAAATAATCTATTCTAGCCTTAGAAATATGGTATTTTAAACCGAGGCATTCCTTTAGCAACATCACCCGCCTTCATTGCCCTTTTGTTCTTTAAATTTAAAAGTGTACAGATTTTCGATTTCGCCATCTCATCATGTTTTAATATAATTTCTTTCTGTATTTCCACACTAACATGATATCTTCAATAACACTTTTCTCTCGGACACAAAACTCAGACAAATTAAGTTTATTGTGTGTACATGTCTCTGCGTATGTTCATAACCCTCAAGTATCGTGTATTAACCGAGACAAAAATTATTCTCAAATTTTTTTCATTAATTTTTTTCGTTACATAGGGTGTTTGTGATCCGAGGTTCCTTTGTATATTGCTACATTTATTTATACTAACGTGTAACTGCACCCTCCTCCACTTCCCTTTTATTGAGATAATTAGAGAATCTTTTAAAATTATGTTTGTTCCATGAACTGGGATAATAGAGATTTTATATAATTTCACATTCTTACATTCTCTGGCTATTTTATAGTATTCATATCTCATACTGCGAAAATACATGTTGTCATCAATAATAATGAGAACTTCATTTATATCTATACTCCATGAGAGACTCAGTGAATCCAGAATGGGAGAAAATCTAATCCAGGTCTCAGCTTTAGTTTCCTTTGGTCGAATAAATGAAAAATATTCCTTTTGAAAACAGTCATTTGATGATTGGATCAAGGCTTTCACTAATGATAATAACTCATATCTGGCATATTTCCAAACTCCACTAATCTGTGAAGATAATAAAATATCATATAATTATAATTTTCACAAAATAAAAGTAAACCAAAACAACTTTTCAAATTTCAACAAAAGGTTAAATGACTTTGATCTAAGGCTTCTTGACAATGTTACATGCTAGTGCCATCAAGCACCATAAATGCAATTCTGGGGGAGAGAAATAGTGGAACAAGGTATGTGGAAGCTTGAAATATAAAGACAGGACAATAAAAGAAGAACATGTCGACTAAGAGCCTTCCTTAACAGATAGAACAAATGAAGAAACAACAGGAAATAGAAAGTGGAGAGAATACTCTTTCTTTCATTTAATTAATATCTGACCCACATAATAATTTGCCCTTTCAGACCTTGTGCAATGCGCCCATGCTCACCGGTGCGGTGTTGGTTTCAAACCTTACATTTATAGTAAGCCTACATTTTCAATTATCAGAAATAAATACTTTCATCGTTATATCTTATGCACCTAACTAATGGCTACTAATGACTAATGCAACTGACAATCATCAGTGAAATAGGACCTGATGCTTGGTGCCATAGAGACCAAAACAGTTGTCATTGATCTTGATAACACTACTATGACTATGGCATCACTATAGTGATAAAAAACATACATGTTTAAGTTGAATAAGGTACCGGTTATATGGAACATAGGGACAGGAAACTTCAACTTCAATATGTGGCTATTAACTACTTTAAACTGTCTAATGTATAGCAGCGTTCCTCAAACGGTAGTCCGTGGATCGACACGGGTCCGCAAGCCTTACGTTACCAGTCCAGAGAGCATGAATATTGATGTTTAAATAGAAAGAAAATGTAATTAATAAATCTGGCATCAGTCCCTGGTGCAGTTTCGAAATTTGTCCACCAGTCCGTAATTCTTAAAAGTTTGGGAAACGCTGATGTATAGTATACTATAAATTATAGTTGTAAATTTAAATTAGTGCTATCTCCATGAAATCATGAAAACTGATTATCCTTAATGTCATTATTCTATCTTAATTCGTTATAAATGTGACATGTCAAGCCACAGAGTGCAAAGACTAATCCAAGTGTTCCCATTAATCCTGGTTTTACTCATTTTAACATGGTTTCAAATTTCAAGTCAACTAATCTCTTAAAGCCAAATTTACCTACTTCTGCATTCCTTTCTTTGGATTGGATAGTAGAAGTAGTACTAGTACTAGCCTGTTCCTGTTGTTTCTCATTGAAATTTGAAGGAAGCAATGAGTCATATTCTATACCAACAAATAAGCGTTGTGAATTTAATTCTACTTTATTAATATTAGCTTCTGGTAAGAAAACGCAAAAGTCATCTACTGTTTTTGAGGCATTTTTCTTCTTGGTACATCCGAGTATTTTTAATTTTAACAAGGAATTGAGAAGTGTTGTTTTTCCTGCAGCTGGAAGACCGCACAATAAACAAATGCAGACACTTAGCTTATGTTTTGAATTCTTCGACATTTTATTTATTTATGCTTCAAAATCTTTTTTTTTAATTTTCACTTTCAAACAGTCACCCTTTGAGTAATTTTATGTATGGAACTGTACGGTTCATTACATTAAGACAGATAAAATACATTTTAATTTTAGTTTTAAATGTTAGCTGCCATTTTTAAAGAAGAAACGCAGCAAATACAAAAAAACTCCGTATTTATATAAAGCTGATTGAGGTCGCTTTTATTATTTTTAAGGTTGTTGCATTCAACCGTTAATGTTACGCCCGTTATTTCGACGCCATAATTAATGGATGTCTGAAAAATCAAGTAAAAAATGTGGGGATAACAAAATAACACAAATAATTTGTTTTATTACTTATTGCGTATTACGGCCATATTTATATCTAGAGGCGTAATCGATACTTCTTTAACGAGGATGGGGCAGGCCTTTATTCACAGCGTGATGGTTAAGGGGGCAGTCGCTCATTTTTGTCCTCACTTTTGTTAAATTCAGTTTTAATATTAGTAATGTAACGTAGAAAATGTGGGGAGAAAACAGCGGAATAAACCGGGAAAAGGTTGATTGCGTGGAGTTTGTCGGATTAAATGGACTGCACAAAAGAAGAAGTTTGGAAATATGTCGGTATTCTACAGGTGCTTTCTGCCCTTACTTAAATCCTAAGTCCAGAATTGCCTTGCCAACAAGCATACTTTCTGAATTCATATTAGTTCAATTTATATTTTAAACAGAAAAAAGAGAGGGAGAGATCAAATTCGTGTGAAGATGATGTGAAAAAGATGTGGGGTTGGGCTTAAGGTTTCATGACTTCGGATACATTAAGTCTTAGTTGGGTGCTCTTGTTCCTTTACACTGTTTCCGTGTCTACAATTTTCTTTTTTATAATGACGTCACAAATGCGATTGTAATTCTCAAGTCTTTATGGCTATTTCGAACAAAAACAATCTTGAAATCATTGTTGTGTAATTTTTCATTGATGATAGGCTACCTGTTAAGAATTAACACAGTTTTGCAACTATGTAAAATTATTTCTTTTTACATAATTTCTATGTTTTGCGGTCCACCAAAAAGCAAGGTGACAGCGTGTTAAGTTGGGGGTGGGTATCCATGGCCTTGTAGGCTATATTTCTATTTCAACTCACCAAAAGAAATATACATTGATTAATAGAAAAAAACATTAATTCATTTTACCAAAGTGTTTACAACAAATGACAAAAGTTAATTTTTTTATGTGTTACCTATACTGGAAAATGTTAATAAAGTAATTGTTTCGGGATGCGCAGTAAAAAAAAAATCCTAATAAAAGATGAAAGATGTATATTTAATTTAAATAAGTGAACAATTGGACACAGAAGAATATTGTTTTATTTTTAATTGGAGTAGGGCCTATCTTATTTATACCTGGAGTCTGAGGTGACTGAAATGGCACGGAAAGACAGTGAGAGGGTGGTGACAGATGGAGCAAAATGTAGAGACATCATTGGTGGTCTTTGGTTCATCGGGGCCAATGGGATATTTATAGTTTGAGGTGCCCAGGGGGGTTATTGACTTTGCCCACAACACTCACTAAAAATATAGAACTGAGAATACACATCAAACAGAAGCCACATATAGAATATGAAATGGACCGAAAATGGCGCCCCCCCAACAAAAAAAAAAGAACCCCCCGGGGCGAACCATTACCTCACCTTGCTTTTTCTACCCATGTTCCAGGGGCGTTAAAGTAAAGGATATATCTTCTCTAGAATGAGTGACTGTTGCTTAATTTTGAAATAGTGGAGTGAAGCAAACAAATTAAATCAATCAGTCAGCCGAGCATCTTTCAACCATCAATGGCATAATAAATCTCATGCATAATTATGTAACCTATAACCCATACAGACCAGTATCATTCACAACGGTAAAAATATTATTTTAGAGTCCTGTGTCCAAATTTTCTTAAACTCATAGAGGGGCCGATGAAAAAAATGTCTTTTATTAATACAATTGACTGAACAAGAAATTTGAGTAGTGTTATTACAGTTTGTGATATCCTTATTATCCTTAATTGGATGTAGTGTGTCATAAGTGGGGATATGTCGATAATTATGAAGGATTTGAATTTGTTAATTAATTTTTTTTTAATTATTATTTTTTTTTTTATAGATTTGTCCCTGAGATTGTGTAGAGTGGAAAAAACGTATTTCGGGCCACGGGCACTGCCTGGATCCGGAGATCCAAGTTCGTAATTTTCCTTATGGGCAATATGAGCTATACCCTGCGGGTAGGTCGGTCATGAACGTTTAATTTTAATGTAAGCTTTTATTTGTGCACAAAAATGAACGTCTTTCCTGTGCGTGGTGCGTAAAATAGCTTTTCTCATTATATCAGAACGTTGTGTTGAGTGTTAATTTACTCGACATCTGAACGTTGTGAAACGTATCGTTATTGAATTAACAAAGGTGTGCAATCTTTTTCCAAAATAGCCACAGTTGTGGCGAATTAAAAATAAAAATTATCCACACTCATGGGCGCCCGCAGGAGGGGGCAAGGGGGGCACTTGCCCCCCTGGATTGATTGGATAAAAATTTTTTAGACAGAAATAGACAAAATCTTTATTAAAGTAAAGAGACAAAAAAAGAGAAATTAACTAAGCTGATGTCCTGTCCGTTCGTTCACCATACAAATACGCTACAGTAAATTAAAACTACATTAAAACATTACTAACAAATTTTTGCCCCCCCCCCAGAAAGTTAATCGTTTTTTTGCCCCCCCCCCTCCTAGAAAGTTTTCTGCGGGCGCCCATGTCCACACTATATATAATATAAATCATAAAAGGCTGCGGCTATTCGGATCCGGTATCAGAATTGAGAGGTTGGGTTTATTAAAGAAATATTTAAAATATTATTGTAGTTGTAGGGTTTGTATGACAAAATTTGGTATCAAATGAAATATAATTGAATGGACTATATGTTTATATACTTAATTCTTCAGTTTAACTAAAATAAACCATCACAAATGACATCCTAATAGCATTTAGTATAAAGTCTAAACCGCTCACTTCTGGTGGCCGGGTCCGAATAGCCCTTCGATCATAAAATACTATTACTAAAATTATTAAATGAAATATGAATAGATATAAATACCACCGAAGGCAGCGCCTCTGCTAGATTTAGATGTTAATGTAACAATATACTAAGAAACTTGACTAACTTGATGATAGTTTCATTCAGATTCTTAATTTTAATAATAAAATAGACACTACTTTCGTAGCACTTCTTATTATTGCTATTACTATTACATATATACAGAAAACATAAAGAAATTATATTGTTTTATCGCATATTTAAGTATTAGCATTTACAAATTGGGATAAATAATATATATATATTAATTCTAGCATCTCTATTTATCTGTTGCATCAAAACGCCCTTGAAACATGTTTTAATTTAAACCAATGAAAATATAAAACCTCATAGCTGCGAGCTTTACAGGATTTGTGACGTCATTTCTTTCACATGGCTCTATCTAGGCAGTTGTATGACCAATAAAGGATGTTGCACCACTGGTGGTAGATTAAGAATAATCGTATACATATTTCTTTTAAACTATTTTGTAAACACTCATTATTGATCTTATCCATTTATAAGATCAGAAAATCATATATGTTAATTGTAAAGAAAGTTATAAACTAAAAGGGTGACATTCCTGACACCCACCCCAAAAAAACCACGCCATACGGTTTGTTGGCTGGACTGTCTTCATCTGCGTCGAAATACTTGACGCACCGGCCATGGCCACCAATGGTATGGATGGTGAATCAAGCGCCGATAGAAATGTAGAAATATGGAAAATAAAAAAGCTTATCAAGAGTTTGGAAGCCGCTCGAGGGTAATTGAAACTAAACTATTTAATATTGTTCATTAAGTTGTACAATCATTGAAATGTCATCGTGTGTTAGTGTTGTCGTTGTTTTGGTGAAGGGTGAAGTGACAAGATCTTTCCCTAATATTTTATCCTTTTCCTATGTAGGCCTAAGCTTAAGTAAGGTTATACATAAAATTATTGCAAATTTGATTGTTAACTGGTACATTTTAAATTATTTGAGTTTTTGTCTCTTGGGCTTAGGCATTAAAAAGTAAGTCTACTTTGGAAAATCTAGTTTTTGGGTAGTAGAAATTACATCTTCATCTAGTTAAAGAGACGAAGGGTTTCAAATTCAATAAAGCTTACTTTTAAATTTGTCAAATAATTTTTCAGGAGAATAAGTGAGGTGATTGGCTTAAGAGTGCGTCATTACCCAAATTATTTTTCGTACAATCTGCCTTTGAGTATGAATGGGCTATAACTATAAGAGGGTGTATGTGTGTGTTTTAATAGTTAATATGAATGTCCAGCTTTGGCTTTAAATGAATGGGCTTACTTTTAACTTTAAAAATGCAACTTCTATACCTTAGGACTAGGCTTAATTATTGTTTTATTTAAAATGGTAAATCCAACAAAATTAAGAATTAAGGCAGACGAAAAAGTAAACGTACCTAAGTAAATAATCACCCTCTGGTACAATTTGGGTGTAAGAAAAATCTGTGGAATTAAAAAAGAAAAATTTGAGCAGACTTACTGTCACTTACACAATTTCATAAAAATGTATGAGCAAAAATATACCTTACAATAACATACATGATTTTTATTGATGTAGCCTATACATTTTTTCTATACTACACCATGCTTCATTTTTCACCTCATTTTCCAAAATAAACAAATCACCTAATAAAAATTTTAATAATCAATAAGCAAAATAAACTTTTAATCCAAAATTTTCTTTAGATGGAATCAACTACTTCAACTGCTTGTGGTTGCTATATTATCTTAATATTACCCTGAACTTATCCGTTTTATATTTCTCAGTAGTAACCATTTTAAATCTCATAGATTATATGTAATCATAAGAATTAATTTTCCTTTTGCTTGGTAGATATTAAAAGTAAAAGAACTGTCAAACCAGGGTACATGAGACTTAGAGCGTAACAAAATTGTAAAAAATTTAAACGTGATAAATAGCGAGGCACTAATCACTGAGCAAATGTTTACCAAAGCATCTTTTTGAATTCTTAGATATTCTGGTTTTACAAAAAACTTGTTGTTAAAATTTTCATATTATTTTGGAACCATAAATTTAACAAAATATTTTGATTTATTCTTTACAGAAATGGCACAAGCATGATATCCCTTATTATTCCACCCAGAGATCAGATAGCTCGTGTTAACAAAATGTTAGCTGATGAATTTGGAACTGCATCCAACATAAAAAGTAGAGTTAACAGATTGTCTGTATTGGGGGCTATTACATCAGTACAGCAAAGACTTAAATTATACAATAAAGGTACTTAATTTGATAGAAAGTGTAGCCTTGAAAGTATTTAAAATGTCCTAATTTGTTAAGTTTTAGAAATATATATATTTTTTTTTACATGTAAACAGTTTATTAAAGTCTTTTCTCACTAGTATTATCATAGCTTTCAAATTCATGTTATATAATATTAAAGTTCCCCCTTCATTTTCTTTCTAGTTCCTCCAAATGGTCTTGTTATATACTGTGGAACGATCATCACAGAGGAGGGTAAAGAAAAGAAAGTTAACATTGATTTTGAGCCATTCCGCCCTATCAACACTTCACTTTATCTTTGTGACAATAAATTTCATACAGAGGTAAGTTATTAATTGCATGGCAGAATTAAATGATTTAGTAGCAAGTATGCTGATGTGTGTCCAATTACTCTCTACTCTCAAGACAGCTTCGTAGAGGCTGGTCAGAGTATATGATGGATAGATGGAGATCGAAGACACCATCCAAGCTAAAGGAAGAAGATATTTCAATGAATCCCAGGCCATACCCACATTGCTGGAAATGAACAAGCAGATCAAGGGTCACCAATCACTAATCAAACCTGCCAATGACATATCTGGGTGTCAAAGCATGTTAAAAAGTCCTTCTTGAAGTGTGACTTAGTAAGCAGTCGGACAGCATGGATACCCTTCAGAAAAATGCTGCAACCAAGCAGAGTAACCTTTGAAACTTCATCTCCAATATCATAGTCTGGTAACACAGATAATAATAATAATAAATTTTATTTCAAAAACACGCTACATCCCCAAAGGCTCGAAGCGCGGTTAAAAAACCCCCCAAACAAAACAAGTCTATAATTTAACCACATTTAAAACAAACGCAACACTACAAAAACTAATTACAAGCATACCAAGTCAAAGTCTTTCTGCCCATTTCAACCCTAAGCAACACAGCCAATATGCATTAAATGGAAAATATGGTAGACAATCATCCCAGAAGGTGTTTGCGAAATAAATGTGTCTTTAAATCGGTTTTAAAGGTTTTATAGATGAGAGCCAAGCATACCCCAGCAAATATGCAGAGAGACTCAACCTGCCATCACTGTTCCCATGAGCCTGAGTCTGTTTCCCATTTTTTAGCTGATTTTGTTGGGTCTTAAGTTATTCACCTGTTCTACTGTAGTGCCCAGCAGATGAAATATGTCGCTGTTGCAATATCCTGGGTCTTAAAGAGCGACTAGCTCTGCCTCAAAAGAAACTGTACAATTAGCAAAAAACTCCAAATAGTTAGTGCTAGTAGTAAAAGACACAGAGATCCTGTTTAATTATTCTAAGTCTGTATCTTCAAAGAATGTGTCAATCTTACTCAATCTTGTTTTATTTCTTTGCAGGCTTTAACAGCTTTGCTGGCAGATGACAACAAATTTGGATTCATTGTGATGGATGGTAATGGAGCACTTTTTGGTACATTATCAGGCAACACAAGAGAAGTTTTGCACAAGTTTACTGTAGATTTACCAAAAAAACATGGTACGGCTATAATTTGAATATTTAGGTCCAATACACATTATTCATGTCCTCATTACTCTATCATCCAGTGTATGCCCAGTATATATTTCTAGCTTTTTCTCACATCCAATATATCTAGTAGCTATCGTAACAATGATTCTTTAAACATTAATTTCATTTTTCTGTATTTAAGTTATTTGCCAAGTGCTGTTAATATTAATGATGTCTTTGATATGAATTTTTAAGTGGAATCTAGCTTTAGTACTGAACAGTTTATTATATATTTTAACATTTTATTTTTTGTTGTTACTTTACAAAGTTCATCAATTCTCCAGGTAGGATTAGAAGAATTAAAAGTACTTAATAAATTTTAAGAGTAATTTTTTTTTATTCTGTTCTTAATACAAACATAATAATTTTGTTGGGCAGGTAGAGGAGGTCAATCAGCCCTTCGATTTGCTCGTCTAAGGATGGAGAAACGACACAATTATGTACGAAAAGTAGCTGAAGTTGCAGTCACATTATTCATTACCAATGACAAGCCTAATATTGCAGGGTTAGTTTTAGCTGGATCTGCTGATTTCAAAACTGAGCTAAGCCAATCAGATATGTTTGATCCTGTAAGTTATCTTAATTTTTTTATTTTGTGGAAGTGTTTTTTTTAAACATGTCATCATTCATTCTCATTTGTATCCAGTCTTTCATGTATGAACAACTCATCTCTAAATCGCACTTGTTAAATTAGTTTAATGGAATTGTTAATACTGAAATAATAATAATAATAATAAAGTTTATTTGAAAAACACGCTTCATCCCCAAAAGCTCGAAGCGCGTCAACCATATTAAAAAGAGAAATAAAAACAATCTAAAATTTACCACATTTAAAAACAGACGCAACAATATAAAGCTACATACTAGCATAACCAGTCAAAGTCTTTCATCCCATTTCAACCATAAGCAACACAAGCCAATATACATTAACTGAAAAAGATGGTAAATAGCATCACCCCAGAAGGTGTTTGCGAAATAGATGTGTTTTCAAATCGGTTTTAAAGGACTCCAGTGTCTGGCTGTTTCTGAGAGCGACTGGAAGTGCGTTCCAAATTGTTGGGCCGGCAAATGCAAAAGTGCACTTTCCGTAAGTCTCAAGGCGAACACACGGTATCGATATTTTGCCACTATCGGATGAGCGGAGCTCTCTAGTGGGTACATAAGGCGTCATGAGTGCTTTGAGATAAGATGGCGCCAGGTCATGTAAGCAGTCGTAGCACGTAAGCAGTCGTAGCACAAAGTTGCAATTTTGTATTCTATTTGAGCGCGGACCGGCAGCCAGTGCAGCTCACTCAGAAGTGTTTTAGCATGGTCGAATTTGCGTTTGCGAAGAACAATGCGAGCCGCATTATTCTGTGCTCTTTGTCTGACTGTTACTTTAGCCTTTTATCTAAAAAATCATGTTCACCTAAATCTTAATTTCATAACTCATACGCTCTTAAAAATATATATTTTTTCAATATTTATTTTGTTTTTTTCCAGCGTTTGCAAGCAAAAATTATCAAAATTGTGGATGTTTCCTATGGTGGAGAAAATGGCTTTAATCAAGCAATCGAACTTGCAGCGGATTCGTTAGCAAATGTGAAATTTATTCAGGAAAAAAAACTAATAGGTAAGCTATCTGCTGTCAAAGTTAAACAAGTTGAGAAGTATTTTTCTAGTTTGCAAGGAACTATCGCTCAATAGGGACAATGTTTATAGCAGTGTTATGAAACTTTTTTTCTTTCATGGTATACCTAGGCACCCCCTCCCCCCCCCCCATAATTCGTAGCACACCATTTACAAGTTACATTTCAGTTTAGTTTTGCTGAATATAGATTTTTCATTCTTTATTCAATATATGATGAAGCTTGTTCTCTAGGATTCTTCCAAGCAAGAAAGTTTATTATTTTTGAAGAAAGAAAAAAACTTTTTTTCTATAAAAGTAGTGAAAATTTTTTCGAGATGCACAATTATCTCAATGGAAATTCAAGATTGTTCTCCTTTAACTGAAATTCAGAAAATATTGAATTTAACTTCAGTGAATGTAAATTTCAGCGAACCAGACATTCCTATTAAACTTGAAGAGAAAGTTGATATGCATAATTTTATGCATGAAATTTGAAACGGTACCAGATCCCATTTTCATGCTCATTATCTTATCATATTGGTCAATATCTGTTGTCTTAATGCCAGATGCTGTTAAGTAAAATTTTCAATATATCAACTTCTGACCAATTTTGGTACATGTCTTATTAGCCAAAGTCGAGTTTTTTTTTATAGCCAGTTTAATTTATTGAACCATGGTAGACATTATCATTCTGAACTTTCTTTTTCAAACAAATTTAAGTCATGTGTACAATGAAGTTGATATTATATGCAAATTAAGTGCCCGCAATTATTATCTTTGGAGTGGCTTGTGTTGGTCAGGCATGTTACGGTTTATTAAAAATTTCCAGAACACTCTTGGGAGCCCCAATTATGAGAAAAAACGCATTGCAGTGGGAAATAAACAATTTATATATGGTCCTATTTCTTTGCAGATTATGTACAAATTTATGCCAATTATTAATTCTCATTTCAAATGTTTAAGATGTTGACATATTTGTTCATTGTTTGCAATAGTTCATCAAGCAATATAACATGCATTTCTAATCCGGCCCATCCATGCAGACACTAACATTATAACTTCATTGAATGTCACATGTTTTTAAGAAATAATCAGTTACTCGAGAAATGGCATTAAAAATACAATACCTGTTATCTGTATTGATTTATGGAGTGAGACAAATATTTGTTAACTTCTTTCTCAAATTTAGGCCCCAACTTTGATAGAGAGATTTACATACATGCTGATTTAAAAAATATTACTCAAACTTATTTATTTTCCAATATGCAGTTATGGTAACTAGGTTCTGAGACTGGGGCAGGCAATGTTATTTTTGCAACCGCTTGAGAGTTTGAATTAAAAATCGCTGAGAATTAGTCTCACCATTGTTATAAGAAAATTGGACTGCGATAAAGCTGATTAATTAGACACAAACTTTTGTTAGCCAAACTGTATTCTTTATTTTGGATGACAAAGTTTATTTAGGACAATGTTACTTGACATATTTATATGAGGACATAATCTGTGATGTTTGACTGTAAAATTTTAACAGCTTTGTAGGGCTGATTAGCTCATCACTGTTCCATTTTATAAAAAAAAATTTTTTTCAATTGTTGAGTTTACCATAAACTCTGGTTTCAGTTTTCCACCTCATGAATCCCTATTGCCGTGGCACACCAGTTGCAAACCTCTGGTTTGAAATTAAAATCTCTTATTTTAAACGAATGCCAACTAGAGCAAAACTAATTAAAACTTTTTCATGTAATACATGTTTGTAATACATGTTTAGATGTTTGTGTAAAAATATAAAAGGCATTATTTCTCATCTTTTCTATAACCAAATAAATTAATCACTGTTATCTGTATTTATTTCCTTTGGCTTTACCACAGTCCAACCCTATTCTAATTACTCAAAGTTGAAAAAAAACACTTTAACTTCTGCAATCAAGGTTTTGAAATATTGAAATTCAGATTTATTATTTGGCTGATGATTATGGTGTTCTGTGTTTATTTAAAAGCAGAATTTTAATAAGATTTTTGTAAACTTCTTTTTAATCTTATTTCCCCTTTTTACTTGCCTTTTCAAGTCTTTAGTGGTGTATAGGCCATTAATTTAAATATTTAATTTGCCTAAACCAATCAGTTCCTTTCATATGCACATTTCTTAGGTAATATATACTTATTCCTTAGAAATGTTTTTAATTGGAATTATAGAATAATAGCACATTTTCCAAGCTTACTCATATCTGTATTATGTGTTCATTATTTAGGTCGGTACTTTGATGAAATCTCTCAGGATACTGGAAAGTATTGCTTTGGTGTGGAAGATACTCTTAAAGCTATGGAGATGGGAGCAGTAGACATTCTAATAGTATGGGAGAATTTAGACATCCAGAGATTTGTCTTAAAGAACCACTCAACGGACGGTATGCCATTTTAAATGTTACAAACCATGTTATTTATTGAATAGCAAGTTGTCTAGGGGGGGTTGTATGACTTGACTAAGGATATTGTAGCAAAAGATTATTCTTATCAATAGAATAAACATGAACTTAACCCTTACAGTACCCGGCGCGTCTTTTTGCCTAATTTTTCCCTGTGACCCAAGCGTGTCTTTTTTTACCAACCGATCGTTTTCCCTGTGGCCCAAGCGTGTCTATTTGCCACATAGAGGGGTATCTAATAAAAACACAGAAACGAGGATATAACCTTTCACCCCAGTCTCGGGCAGAATGTTTATTCGTTAGGGGAATAGTCAAATTTTAATTTGCATTTTAAATTATGTAAATCGACCAATTACTGAGTTTTTTATGCGGATCTGTATTTGTTGTTTCCATGGCGCCACTTAATCGCTATTTTTGATGGCGACTTACGCCCACTTGATGAAACCTTTTATTCTGAAAATATTATTGAAATTTAATTGGGATTAGAAGTGTTTTTTTAACACCCTTATCCATTTCTGAACAGATAATTCTCTACATGTTATTATCAATTGTTTAAAACAAAAAAGTTACAAAATAAATTAACATCCTATCAAATTTTGACTCATTCCAAAATTAATGTCTGGGCCACAGGGAATAATTAGCCAGTTAATGGCCGGTAAAAGTAGGTCAGTACTGTAAGGGTCAACACTTTATATCCACATAGCACATAGTAGGGTAAAAAAAAACTTTTATCCAAGACTTTTTCCACTTGTATTGTGAAACAAAAGTTTTTAAGACGGTAAGCTCAATAACTTTGTCATGACAGACAAAATTGATTTCACTAAATAAATTTAAATATAGGAATCTGTTTTACCAGTATTACAGCATAAATTAACAGATGAATTATGTATAATCGCATGAATTGTTAAATTCATTAAAAAAAAACAACCTCAAAATTTGATGAAAATCTGAATTTAAACAAGCCGTTTTCATTTTAAAGTTGTGATTTAACCTTTTGGGGATGTAATTATTTTAATAATTTTAGAAGGATTGTGAATCAATTAAAAATTTATCATGTTGCTATGTTATACAGATGCCTTTCAGCGTTTTTTGGATAAAAGGTTAAAATTGGTGATCACCTATCAGCATAGTGTGGATATAAAGCATTATAAGTGAATGTATACAATTTTTTTTTAAACAATCAAGGTAACAACTACACATCGGAAAGCATTAAGGAAAGTAGATGCACTATGTCTTGTATGACTATAGTTGAGGACCAATATTAAAATAATTAATGTATGTATAGAGTTTAGATTATATAGGAATATATAATATGAAAGTCACAAAAGAATACACACGAATAATAGCACTTGGACTAAAAATGCTCTCTGAACCTAGTTTCAAGATTTGCACGGGTAATAAAGAAGTGTCTTTCCTGGAAAATCTATTGAAGTAATTTAAATTAAGTGTTAATGGTTGATTCTCATATGACTCATATAAAATGTGTCTGTCACAGATACATTTTTTCCCTACATTTCTCATGCACTGATATCTGTGTACATCTCTTTATTAGGGTATTAAACTATGTTAAGAAAATAAATAAATATGGTTGGATAGCAAAAAAATCATTTATGGTAACAGTAGCATTAACTTTATTCTTTAAGTGAAGATCATGCGAAGAGTACTTTTCAGTAGTTTAAATTAGAATAAGTCACACAACAAAGCCATTAGAAGATAGCATAATAAAACAACACATGAAGCAATTATTTATAAATGTGATCCTCTTGGTCATTTGATTATAATCCAAAATGTATTTCATTCCATTTGTTTCTTAACTTTTATATTGTACTCAATACTATTTGTACACATGGAGTTTTTTCTCTTTGACTGGGAATCTGAATTGACAGTTGAATGGTTTAAAAATGGTGTTTCTCATTGCATTTATGTGTATGACATTGGATCATTGCTGTTTCTAATCATTGCTGTTTCTATAAATTAAAGAAGTGTAGCAAAAAATGTAGGATTAAAAAAAATATTGGCTTATAAACCTATAAACAAGGAAATTTATCAAATTATTCCATGAAAAAATATAATTAACGCTATGTTAAAATAATGTGCTTCTTTTATAACAAAACAAGTGTGTTATAATGATCTGTTCTATCGTTAACGCAACATTTCAAATTTCTTTTTAATCAACAGAGGAAAAAATTTTACACCTACGGCCGGATCAAGAAAAAGATAAAACTTATTTCACAGACAAAGAGGTAGGATTCCAAATTGCTTTCTTATCATTCATAATTTTGAATGGTTGTGATATCTGAATATTTAGAGTTCTTGGAAGCAATGTATTTACAACAGATAAAACAAGTGTATTTGTTTGCTAAATAAGTGTATTATTTTTAAATAATTAGGAAAACGGGATGTTAATATTATTATTAGTGGTGGTTTTATATAGCTCACCACGCTGTACATACAATTTAACAAACATAATCATGATCTTAAAAATTAACTTACATTAATTAAATAAAACAAAACCAATGTATATTCACTCCAAACATTTAAGAACTATTTACATGTCAAGCCATGGACAGCTACCCAGCAGCATTGTTTATTGGTCAGGGGGGAATTATTGATGGACAGATTCTCGCTTTAAGTAGCAATTTGTGTTAAAGTTAAAGGCCACTTATTTAATAACTATTTAAAATATTGCAACTTTAAAGGTTGTATTTTCTTTTGACTTTCTTATAAAATGTTTTTTCTCATTTAGACAGGAGTTGAATTAGAATTGATAGAGCAAATGCCTTTGCTGGAGTGGTTTGCCAACAATTATAAAAATTTTGGTAAGTTAAAATGCTCTCTGTATTCTTTGGTCATATGTAAAAGATCGTTTTGTCAATTTTTGGCTATTCCAATGTAATTTCATAGTAATGTTTCTATTTCTAATGACTATTATTGACTATTTATTAGGACAGACCAAATGAAATTTGAAATATAGTATTTTAAATGTACATAAAATTTAAAGTAATTAACATTTTGTCTGCTTTTAGGTGCCACTCTTGAAATTATTACAGATAAGTCACAGGAAGGAGCTCAGTTTGTCAAGGGTTTTGGTGGTATAGGAGGTAAAGACAAATTACCTGATTACTATTTATGTTCTATAATGCTGCATTACTTGACTTAAAAAAGCTAATAATCAGATTCCTGGAGTAGACTTTAAAAATATTTGGATCATTTTTTTTTTGTGGAGAAATTAACCTTTTTGATATGGCCACGCCAATCTATCGGCCCAGAGTGTTAAGGCAAGTTAGAGGAAAGGCTGATCTATTTGCCCAATCATAAAAGCCTTGAGATAAGCTGGCCACGACACAAATTTTCACATAGTTACTGCAGCTTCACATAGTTACTGCAGCTTTTCCAAAGCTTTTTTTTTTTTAGCCTAGCACATCCTGATAACCAAAATTAGTGGGTGAAAAACAGCAGTCTAGATGCTACTTTACAACAAAATTGAATTTCAATTTTTATTGCATTTAGGCCTTAAGACTAAGATTCATAATTGTAGGATTTAAAAAAAAACCATGAAATTCGTTTGTATAGAAATGTAATATATGAAAAACATTAAGGTGGTCAATTGTTGAAAATCAAATTTTATTTTAACAATTCTCTCCCCCCACCCCGAATGGAACACCCAAAAACCCTTTCCTGTTTCTCCTTTATGGATGCCTCATGAGTGACACTATATAAAATGCAAGGGCTAAATTTATTTTTAATGCTACCAATTTAAAACTTATTTTTATAAAAACAATTTTAAAAATGTATACTTTATTTTTCAAGTACTTTTCATTACATTTCTGCTGAAAATTTAATGCAAAACTTGCTCTTAAAGAATTAATAAAAGTTTATTTTTCCACATTTAAATAAACCGATCACTAGTTAAGTTTCTATATCAATTATACATTGTTGAGAATTTTGTTTACTCAGAACTTATTAATTGGATTATAAAATCATGATGTATTTCATGTTTTTTTCCCAACTAGGTATCTTAAGGTATCAAGTGGACTTCCAGGCACTGGATCCCTCATTGCAAGAAGGTTTATATGAAGATTTTGATTTGGACGATTATTAAAGAGTGTTCTTTGCACATGGATCAGCCTTCCTTAAGATGGACAGTTTCCTATCTATTACTTCTTCTTCTTTCTATCATATATGCTAATGGAATCCAACAAACCCTGCCTTTGAAGGTCTGCAATGGTACCGCAACAGTGTTTAATGATAGGGCAGACAGATTGCCCTGTTTCTGATATATGGGCCATTATTAACAAAATGAATGACTGTCTTTCATTAAAGGCTAGGTGAGCAAAATGTCTGTAACACTATGTACAGAATTTAAAAAATATAAAATTCTTTGAAGTGATCTACTATAAATTTCACTGGGCTAAAAGTATTTTGCTGAAATTGTCCAGCATTAGCTCGGATTCTATGCTGGGATGATGGTGCCCAGTCATGTAGAAGTACTATCATACTCTTTGTAATCAGAATCATTGGGACACAATGTATATCAGCTATATATGTAATTTATCTGACTTAGTATGACCAAGAAAATGCTAATACCGAATGACCCACATTTTATAGTATGAGCCCATGGTGTACCAGTTAACAGGAATGCAATGTAAAGAAATCATTTGTTGATAAATGCCCCTTCATTATTAATTATGTTGTTTCAAATGTATTTACAAACAAGTGAGATTGTAGATAAAGTTTATTGTAAGAATGATTGTTGAAACAGAACTTGTAAGCTTCCTTAGTTGAAATGACTTGTGTTTTATGTCCATCTCTGACACTAATTTACACAAAAACCAAAATGCTATTTATTGCAAGTTGTTTATGCTGATCTTTTAGTTTTGCCTTTTGGGTTTGAGGGGTGCTGGATACAGATATCTCGCAGAATAAATTTAATTTTAAAATGTCATGTAGCTTTGTCCATTTTTTTCATTCAAGTTTTATTCATCTAGTCTTGAAATATAATAGTAATACATTGCACGAAAACAAATCAAATCGTGAAATCTTCACTACTTCATACAAAATAAACACAAACATTTTAAATTCAATAGCAAACTAAATTCTTCGTTGCATCTGCTTAAAATCCTATTGTAATGAAATATAATATTCACCAAATCTGGTTATATGAGTCAGGTTAGGGTGTTGCTTTTTTTTAAAGCGCCACAGATATTTCCATGGGCAAATGTAATCCTTTTTTGCCACTATTGGAAAAGCAATCTAGCTAACTGTAAACTGAACTGAGATAATATTACCTAAGCCAGCTTGAATAACATCACCTAGATTAAGTTTTGAGACACCAGATGGTGTGCCTGTAAGCAGTAAATCTCCTGGTTCTAAGGTAAAATACTGACTAGCATAACTTATTAAATGCTCTACTGAGAAAATCATGTCCTTAGTGTTACCAGATTGTCTGGTCTCTCCATTAACCTTGAGCCAAATGTCGACATTGTTGGGATTTGGAATCTAATTTGAAAGAAAAAAATACACATGAGTGATTGAGAGGATTATGATCAAAGAATTATGGGAATACATTTTCAAAATGTTGAAAATGTATATTGTTAAAATATGTTATAAATTGAAAAACACAATGATCAATGTACAGTGGTACCTCGGTATATGTCTGCTTTGGAATAAGTCCAACTTGGTATACGTCCTGTTTGGACGAGAAACATTTGCTTGGTACACGTCCTTCTTTTGGAATACGACTCGCGTGCGTGCTAGAACTTACTTTATATGTATCAAAATGACACATCGTGCAAAGACTAGGATGGATGCATTCTTTTCAGGCTCTGTGGAGGAGGAGATAGAGGAAGCTCCTACTTAATTAATCAAGGAAATCTTTGCTAAATGACTAAATGGATGGATGTCAAAAACTTTGCATAGAAGTACCACTCCAACAAAGCCTAAATAAGTCCTAGTACTAGTAGCATTGTCTGGAATGAACACACAATGTCACATTTTCAAAACATCCTGAGGAGAAGTCAAAAGCAAAGCTCTTTAGACAGATTTTTTGTAAAAGTCAAACCCAGTGAGCCTCAAACAGGGTCAACTAGGGAAAAGAGACAGAAAAAAAGAAAAAACAATGTCATATTCCTGAAGTTTTATTGGAAGCGGACTCTCCTTCAAAACAACATCTCCTCCTTCTCAGCACGATATTATTACTATTATTAGTAAGCACTTGACTCTTCTCACCAATGTAACGTGAGGTTAAATTTTCATTTATTTCACCTAAGTTCTTTTTATTTATGTATTTTAGTATTAATATTAAGCAGTGTTTAAATTATTTGATACAACCACATATAGTATAATATGCCAATAACAATATGATTTTTTTCTTCATGGGAACAGATTAATAATTTTCCCTTTATTTCTTATGGGAAAAATACGTTTGGTATACGTCATGTTTGGTAGTATAAGTCCAAAGATCTGAAACGGATTAAGGACGTATACTGAGGTACCACTGTATTATAAATTGAAAAACACAATGATCTACGAAATTTACCTTCTCTTTGTCAATAAAAGCACTAACAGGGCATGATGTATCAAACCCCTTAGCTAGACACCAAGGGTGACCATTTTTCTTGGCCTCTGACTGCCAATCCCTAGCTGTCATATCTAGACCAAGGGCAAAGCCCCCAACATATTTCATGGCTTCTTCTTGTTTGATTTTTGAGGCACGAATTCCAATGACGACTCCCAACTCTACCTCGTGGTTGAGATCACTGCACCCCAGGGGAATCTAGTCAATATTAACAATTATTAATAATATATTTTCAGTGATGATAATCCATCATTATCATTCCACAATAAGTCAAATAACTTTTTTTAGCTCTCACTATTTTTCTATCATCTGGTCATTTCACATATTTATTATTATTAGCTTTGAAAAAACAACCTTCCCTTACATTAATTGTGAAATCTATGAACATCTTTGGTCTAATTAATTAAAATACTGGTCTACAAGTTGGGACACCTGTTATAAATTTATTTTTGAAAAGTTAAGTACCAACCTTTATCATTTGGCCTTCAGTGATATATGCAGAAGTTGGTTTCAAAAAGAGAATTGGTTTACTAGGTATTGGATTGCCTAACTCAGCAGCATGTTCTCTGAAATGTTAAGATTTTTTTTTTCTTATTAAAGTTTATTTGTAATGTTTATAATATTTATTTATGGCCCACTCACCAACATTATAATTAATAGATTTCAAATATGCAAGCTGTATGCAGCCTTAAGCATGCAAAGTGATTGGTCTTAGATGAAACTAACAAGAACATATGGTGAGTCGATTTTCGAAATGCTGTATCTCCATTTTTGGCGTTTTGAGATAATCGACTTTTTCTGCTACATAATGATGGCTCAAACTTTCGGAAAAGTAAATGCTAATTTAGATATATATTCAAAATATAAGTTAGATTTTGATGAAAATTGAAATGTAGGTTAATTAAAATGTATTTATTTACTTTGCTGAATTTCTTATTTCTTTTCAAAATGCTGTGTATCCACCTATAAATTAGCAACAAAATGCTGTATATCCATTTTGATAGCATAACATTATTCCGGGTAGCAAATAAATCAAGTTGTTTAAAGATTAAAAACCACTAACATAAAAAATTAAATTAAATTGTATCATATACATTATATAATTGTGTATGATTAATGTTTTTATTGATATATTAATTAACAGAACAGTATTATAAATGCTGGAAAGTCGCTTGTCATAGTGTAATGTTTAGAGTGATATAAGTTTGCATGATTTGTTTTTATAAATCTGAATTCTAAACAAAAGTAAACAAGATAATGTTCAATTCACAAATCATTTTATTTGAATTTAGAACAACGACAAAATAGAAAATAATGAAGTGTCTTATTCAGAGCGTGCATCATCTTCAATAGCAGTTTGGTTTTGTTCCAGGAAAAATTGATGCTTCTTATTTGCATTCAAATCAGAGGGCAAATATTTCTGTCCTTGGGCACCCTTTTCTTCTGTCATGGCTGGATCTGCATGTGAAATATTGAATGTGTAATAAATAACACAGCTAACTCTGTAAAGCAACTTTTTATTTTCATTTCCTTAACACTTCTGATGTGTAATAACCATAATAATAATAATGTAAAATGAAATTCTGTGTTTTTTTAATAAAGTTACCGGTAACTCACCTTGCAGAACCATGTATTGTGATTACACCTAACCGAGGGGATCTTTCCTCCGCTTGATTGACGAAATGATTTGTCTTTTTCTCGTGTTGAGCTTTTTTTCTTTCTTTTTCGAGATTTTATAGTACAAACAACTCTTTCATCCAGGCCGTCATTATGCACCGTGTTTATTGATGTTTTGCTTCGTGATGTTTAGTTAAACGAAATAGGAAATAAGGGGGCGGGGTGCAAAGTTGACATGTTTGGGCTTGAAAATGCCTATAAGTACTATAAGTTGTAGGTCAAAGTTTGTTATGAGAAAACACATATTGTAACAATTTTGTTTGAACCAAAAACTGTAGACAGGTCTTGGGATATTTCATTAAAAATTGTCAAAAATATTTTCTCTAATAAGATTTTATGTCATATAGTTAGTGCCTATGATAAAGCAACCCTTATTTTTTTTATTTGACCTATTACATGATATTTGAAGAAAGTTTAAATGAGGATTTTAGTTTTACCATTTAACTTTAACAAGTTCAAGAGGTGACACTCACATTTTTCTCAAAGATTTTTGCTGGATACAACTGATAGACACTTGTGATTATCATTTCACAACCAAAATAGCTATTTATATGAAATAATTTGGGATTTTGTAACTGAAAACATTAGCGCTGTTTAATGACAGTACATTTAGTGGAATGCTTTTTTTTTTTTACTGTAACTGTTAGTAATACTTTCAATTAAAACTACAATGAATAAGAATGGTTAATAGTTTTAATTGGGACACTTTTGATGAAATAGGGTTTGTTTAAGTTTAAGTAGTGAGCTTTTTTACAGATAGCATGCTGATCGAACAGTTTAAAAAAGAACATTTTGTTTCTATAAGTATAATATAGGCATTTTATGTATGGAAAATACTACATTTCTTTTGAAAAAAACCCCAGCTATTTGTATATTTTTTTTTTTTTTAAATGGGGGGGAATCATTACATTATTTGAGTTACTTATTGTCAATGTGAATTTATAAAATGCGACCAGCGGGGGTGTAAAAAAAAAGGAGGAGGATTGGAACATACAAGAAAAAGACCTTTGTGACACAACGAAAAAAAAATCAAGGTTTTTATCTCCTTATATCTTATAACCACGTATATTTTAAATTAATTGTTATTTTTACTATTTTAATTGGTTTTCGCTTTAGATTTAAAAAAAACCAACAGATTGTAAATGTTTTTAAACTTATGGAAGAAGCAGATACATTTTTAATACATTCAAAGGTTTCCAGGACACAAAGATTACAGCGAAGGTACTTGCAGAAACCATAGATGTTTAGCCAGTTTTTTTTTGTATACCAACAACAAAGTTAAGAGTTTGTCACAAGAAAAGCCACTTAACCAATTTAATTATAAAAAAATAACAATTAAATTACAATACACTTTAATACCTATTAAAGACCCTGAAGCCTGTTATTATGATGAAATGGTCATAATAGTTGATAATGCAATTGATGCTTTGACAGAACGTTTTGAACAAATGAAATAAAGCACCAATTTTAATAATATCGGTAGCACAAACATTCTCTCGTAATAGTTAGGAATGGATGAAAATTTGTAAAGATTTATAAAATTGGCAAAAATTTATCTCATATCTCAGGCATTTATGGATTTGAATTATGTAAAGAAATATTTCTATTTTTACATAACGGACATGCAAGAAATCCTCACTGAACTCTCTTAAATGTTTGCACAAGAATCAATGTCTGGATTTTTTTTTTCCAAATGTAGCCAAAGTTAGTAATTTCTCTTCGAACTTTGCTGAATTTCCAGTCATTGTTTAAAATGCAGTAAGAAGTTTTTATAAATTAAAATTGATTACAACCTATTTATGACCAGCTTTGACTCAAGAAAGGATCACATCTTAAGCTGTGCTATACTGAAAATGATGTTACCCGTTGACTAGATGATGGAGATGTCATAAGTGCTTTTGTTATCCCGAAAGCCAGAAAAATAATACTTGTAGAATAGTGTAGTAGTTATGATCCCAATATAATTTTGAAAAATTACTGAAAGTGAAAGAACTGAAAGTCAAGAATTTTTCTTGTTATTGTTACCCCTTTTCAATAAAAGCCTTTTTAATTTCAAACCAATTAGTTTTTATTCATTCAAAGTCTGATTAATAATTTATGTTTTATTGTTTATTCTCAGTTCAGAATGAGACATATTTTAATTTTAGGCCATATATCTCCTGTCTTCTCCAGCAGAAAATTTTAAAATTATTAAGTTAATATCAATTTGAAGAAGGAAGGGGCACACAAATTTAGAACTGCCTTTGGCACAAAAAGCAAAGGCTTTTTGTGCAAATAATTGAATTTTGATCTGAACTCGAGCGTCTGCAGCTTTCAGGACATGAATATTTAAATTTATTTAATAATTATCTATAATACATACCGATTGGACGTTAAAAGCTAATTCAGTTTAACCCCTTTTAAATAGTTTTTACTGTATAAAAATATAATACTATTATATATATTTGTGCAGTAAAAAATGACATATTAATTATATTATTACTGGTATTTCAATCTAAAAAACAACAAATTCAACTGCAATTTACTATTAGCAATAATGAAGCGAGGTGGGGGTGGGGGGGTGAGATTCCGGATATCACTCCATAAACACATCAATGCTTTAATAATTTAATAGAGCAATCATAAGTAGGCACACAGTTGAGTAAAACACCACACAGCAGGTGCCATGGTGGGGAACAGCAGGTGCCATTGTGGGGAACAACAATACAAGTGTTCTTTTGTGTGCTTTTCGTAGGACCCATACTCATATTATGTGATCAAGAGCATGAATTTGATAGATTATGCACCTCGCATTTTACACGGGCAACCCCAGCTCGTTTAATAATAATTAATATATATTTATATATATATATATAATTTATATACGTTATATATTTTTAATATAATAATATATAGTATAATATTATTATAGTATAAATAATGGTAATTGACTCTCAGACTCAGTGGTTATTTGAAGATAAAGTTAATATACATGAAATAACATACTACAATATTATATGAAATACGGAACCTGTAATTTCGGCCAACGCATATGATTTTCTTGCCTAATTCTCGAAATTGTGATAGTTTTGACATTGTATTAAAATTTTATTCAATAAATATTTCAATTTTCTCTGCAACTCTTCAACCAGCTGCTTTGATGACCTTTGGCCTCATATTTTATTTTGCCTGTTTTTTGTTGTTGTTTTTTTGTTGGGTAAAATAGGAAAAAAACTATTTAAGTACGTTATTTATATGTTTTCATTTAAAAATGTATCGAGTATTAAAAAAAAATTGATTTGATGTTATGCATGCATTTAAATTAATAAACACTTGTTATAAACAAATTTATAGAATAATGTACCTAATTATTTCTAAATTAATATTTTGCTATAAAAGAAACTAATTGGCATATTTAATTTTTCATTTAATATTTTTCGAGTGCTTTCCCATTCGACTTAGCAGCAAAAAATTTGTCATTTACTAGAAATCAGTTAAGGGTCGTTCGCAAATTACGTCATGCTCAAAAGTGGGAGGGGGTGTTTGTGACACTGTGTGTAAATTGTGGGTAAATGTGTGACGTCAATTTAAAAAAAAAATCTAAAATTTTCTAATTTTGACTAATCTTTTTTCAATTATTTTTAAAAACATTAATTTGAGATCGAAATTGCCTCAGTTATTATAGGTAACGTGAAGATCCGTCGCGCATACCTTTGTGCATATGGAAAAATGACCAAAAACTGTTGTGACTGTGACCATTTTACATTCGTTCGGCGTGGGGATCACTTCGTTGTTTTGCGTCACAGTTTTCTAATAATACTACATCTTAATACATTATCGGAAAATGTTAAAGAATAAAATCAAATCTTAGTTTAGCTATAAAAATTGTATGCATATTTTGATTTATTTTTTTTTAGGTATGACGTGACACTAAAGGGGTGGGTAAAGAATTTGTGACAGGGGAAGGGGGTCTAAAAAGGTCATTTTTTTGCGTGACGTAATTTGCGACACCTTACGGTTATGTCGGTATCAATGAACATCGTTAATATCTTGTCTATAGGCTACAGGAGCCATCCATATAAAGCGCAGGCCCCGCACTAAAAAGGGAGAGCGGAAGCCGGAAGGGGGTCTCCACAGAAATTAATATTGCGAATAGTGGTACATTTATAAACAATACAAATTGTGCAACAAGTATCCTGAAATTAATTTTAAAACTGTGCAAGCAAAAACTATGGTTTATTACCTCATTTTGTTTGTTGTGAACAATAATATTGTTTTTCTTAACTTGTATTTGGACAGAATGAACAATTAGTCTACCGTGAACAGTATGAACAATAAGCCTACCGAGGGAAGTATGAACAATTAGCCTACCGTGAGCAGTATGAACGATTAGCCTACGGATGACTTTTTCTCTAGCCTTTAGATCAACAAATCTTTTTATTGCACTTTCTATTTTTCTTCCAGGGCGCCCACATGCAATGCTTTTTCCTATTTTGGAAGCTTGTTGATGGTGCCCTAAGCACATGGCGCCCCGGGCAACTGCCCAAGTTACCAGTACCTTGAGACGGCCCTAGTAATCATAACCCCCGTATGATAATGAAGGCATGTACCTAGTCAAGAAAGTAGATGCGTGAGTTGAAATGAGCTAATACATTGAAGTAGACATTTATGGAGGCAAGTTAGAAGACATGTAAGTAGTTAAGAAAGTAGACGCATGAGTTGAAATGAGCTTATAAATTGAAGTATACCTTTATTGAGACAAGTTAGAAGACATGTAAGTAGTTATGAAAGTAGACATGTGAGGTAAGCTGCCATGACAGTAGATGTTGAAGTATGCTATTCCTTGGGTTCAAGGGAGATCATTATATGGGCTCCATTCAGCTGGGCAAACTACGTGTCAGAGGCATGAACAGTTGGCCGAGTGCATGTCTATCAACACTTTTATAGGAGTCATTGAGCCGCACGACAGGTATTAAATTCCAGAATTGTGAAGTCCTTATGACGACATTCATTGCATTTCATTTAACGTATTGAAAAATTTATATCGATTTTACTTTGTCATTATTTATGCGGAGCGAGGGTGAGAGAAAGATAGGGGGGGGGGTAGTACAGAGATGATAGAGGTATTACATCCAATGCACCCATGACATTCTGCTGATTGATCCATGTCATAGTGCACCCATGACATTTTGCTGCTTGATCCATGTCATAGTGCACCAAGAATTGTGAAGTCCTTATGACGACATTCATTGCATTTCATTTAACGTATTGAAAAATTTATATCGATTTTACTTTGTCATTATTTATGCGGAGCGAGGGTGAGAGAAAGATAGGGGGGGGGGGTAGTACAGAGATGATAGAGGTATTACATCCAATGCACCCATGACATTCTGCTGATTGATCCATGTCATAGTGCACCCATGACATTTTGCTGATTGATCCATGTCATAGTGCACCCATGACATTCTGCTGATTGATCCATGTCATAGTGCACCCATGACATTTTAGTGTATTGATTTTCCATTGTAAAACTTGGGCTGTAAGTGTGCCTCTTATTTTTAATCTCCGAGTTAACCCCATTTCAACAGGCCTTGTTTAAGTGTTGAAATCCTTTGTTGTACCGGTAGTGGAATGTCGTCAGCCTTAAAATGAGGTTGGGGACATAACTCTTTCATTGTGTTTTTCCCATGCCCTACTGTAAAAAAATTAAAAAATTAAAACCCCCCAAAAAACAATAATAAAATAAAAATAAACATCAAATTAAGAAAACATCGAAGTACAGTTTTTGAAACTGCACATTTTAAATTTTACATTTAAAAAAAACCTTTAGATTTTATTCATTAATCGCTGACTTTTTATTACGTTATCAATTCTTCTTCTTCTGCCTTTTTACCCCGTCTTGAGCATAGGCCGCCAGCAAGAACTGTCCGTTCATCACGGTCCTGTGCTTTCTGTGTGCATTAACTCTCTTTGAACTGTGCTCCAAAAGCGAGTCTTTGTTCACATCTAGTTTTTGCCATGAATTCAGGTCGATGTCCATGGATTTAAGGGACGATTTGAGACAATATTTAGAACCCTTTTTTTCTGCCAAACAGCTGAGTATTTACCTCTATAAAGTTCTTCTTATGTCTTTTTACCCCGTATGGAGCGTAGGCCATCCACAATAATTTTCCATTCATCACGGTCCCGTGCTTTCCTCTCTAGTTACTTCCAGTTGTATCCCATATTGTGGGTATCTGCCTCTAGCTTGCGTCTCCATGTATTCGTTGGTCTTCCTCTCCTTCTTTTTCCCTGTGGATTCCATGTTAGGGATTGTTTGGCGATGCTATCTGGGGTTTTTCGGAGCGTATGCCCTATCCACCTCCATCTTTTCTTTATGATATCTTCATCAATGGGCACTTGGTAAGTCCTTTCTAGTAGATCTTTGTTGGTGATGGTATTTGGCCATTTGATGTTCAGGATCTTTCTAAGGCATGTGTTTATGAAGGTCAGTACTTTCTGTGTAATGCAGATCACTTGGTTGCGTTTAAAACGAATATTTACCGGGCCACACGGACAGGATAAAATACACACACCAACATGATTCTGTACGCTAAAATAAGACTGTGATTGGCCCACCCCCAAGCCATTGCTTGAAGTGTTCATGACGCCACTGCGGCTCAAAGTTTACACAGGCCAACTGTACGCGCAGATCGATTGACTGATGCTTTATAATTCATGGGTTCGTATTTGCATCAATTCATGACCTATATATTTACTGTAATATTTGTTTCACGGCTTCTGTCAGCAAGCTTTACCTTTTCCTGGTCATCAACAAGTTCTCTAGACGAGGGAAGCTGAAACCCTAAGCTCCCTACACCATCCGTGATAAATGCAACAATTGATACATTCTTCTTATTTATATAGTAAACAAAGTCATGTAGTTGGCGTAGATAAAGAGGTCTTATTAAGACGAACACCAACCTATAAAAATAATTAGAATTTTAAAAAAAACCAACCCGCAAACCTACACAAACAACAACCCAAAATCACATATCCATACGTCCTATCTAAAACCACATTCCCATAGGTCCTACTAAAATCATGTATCCATAGGTCCTATCTAAAACTAAAACCACAGATCCATGTGTCCTATCTAAAACCCAAAACCCATAGGGCCTATCTAAAACTAAAACCACAGATCCATGTGTCCTATCTAAAACCCAAAACCCATAGGTCCTATCTAAAACTAAAACCACAGATCCATGTGTCCTATCTAAAACCCAAAACCCATAGGGCCTATCTAAAACTAAAACCACAGATCCATGTGTCCTATCTAAAACCACATACCCAGAGGTCCTATCTAAAACGTTCGTTTTAAATTAATCTATTAACTTTGGCTATCACCCCACTCTTGGTTCAGAAAAAAAAACAACCTAACGGAGAAATAACGGAGATGGCTATTTTTAGATTAAATAACGGTCGATAAAATAGCGTAGTACTCAGTGCCCTCTCATAAAACAGGTATTGTTAAAATTCCTTTGTTAGACCACTGGCTCCATTCTAGAGCTGTCACTTAGCTTAGTCTTTTGGGTAACACTATAACATTTGTTTTTTTTTTTCAATTTCTCGATTACTTTCTTTCTACTCGCAAATCCATTGCCATTGGGTTTGTAAGTTCGTAATTTTGTAGCACAATGTTGTCGTTGACTCAATATGTCGATCCAGTCTGCATCTTGCTTATCTGTAAAAGTAAGGCCCGCCTGAGTTGATGACACAAGAGTTACGTCTCCGGTTTTCTGGGTCAAGGGGAGTTGGAGTGTGAGTGAAGGGGAAATTAGTTAAGGTGATACAACAAAACAACAACCAAAAAAACTACCGCCATTGCTTAAAGTGACCATTGGTTCTTACTGTAGGATGTTGGGGTGGATGGGGGAAGGGGGTTGGGGCAGGGCGATTCCTCAGTTAGACTCTGATTAACGGATGGCAAGCGACCATGAGTGAAAAACGAAGTCGTCCAAATCTACTCTTTAGTTGTTTGCCTGGGTCAAGGGCGAAGTCGCTCTACCTGGGATTAACATTTTCATAATTAGAAAGTAGAACACACACAAATAATTTTTAAAAACTTTCTTTCAAAGACGAGTTTAAAAGAACTAAAAATAAGAAATTAATTAAGATAAAATTTCTTCGAAATCATCACACAAAGAAAGTCTGTCCAGAAAATATTTTTAAAAGATTATAAAATAAAACAAAAACATAGTTAAAATTCACCTACATTTAATTGGAATCCTTAGGCTTACCTCCATTTCTGCCCAGACATTCTTTGCGTAGTGAATTTAAGTTTGTTTAAACTCGTCTTCGAAAGAATTTAAAAAAAAAAATTATTTTAAAAAACTCAACACCAGAAAAACTTTAAAAAAAATTAAAATAAATAAATGATAATTGATAAAGCTGTACCTAAGCCACTCACATTAGACTTAGGACAAAATCAATTCCTCTTGACGCTAAAAATGTTGAATCGTAGTTTGTTTATTCCCCAAATGAAACCATTTTCAGTTTCGTATAAATCTACGGATTAAAAAATTCTACGGTGGGAACGACAAGCGAGTTTACTTGTAGGAAACTGTAGGGCAACACTTATCTCTAATTCTAATTCTAAAAAGAAAAAAAAAATGACTGCGATAAGGATGTAACAACCATTTCAACCCCACCCCCATCCCCCCAATTCGAAATTTGATTACAGTGGAAACAATCACCTGGCTTGAGCTTATCTCTGATGATTCCACCAACATTAGAGGCGCAGTTGTCAAAGCGTACGGCTTAAATGTCCCTTTAAGGGCAGCGCCGTGTTGCCTAGGATTGAGTGTCAACAAAACAACAGCAACTCACGTGACTTTGACGGACAGACACAACGAATCAATGAAGACTTGGCAAAGATAGTTTAAGATATATCTATATCTGTTTTGTCCGTTGGATATATATCAGAGCATGCTTGAGCTTGACATAGTCATGCGTGATGGTACATGTACATGGCTTTCAACATCTTTTGTTTTTAGACTTCGAGTCATTTCAGCGCCCTGATAGTTACTAATAAGTTCTAAAGACATCAAACAATTAAATGATAAAAAATAAATTGATGACAATTTTCGCACGTCGTGTACTAGGGTGGGGTTAGATATTTCGTGTACTAAAGGGTTCTGGTGCCCTTCCTTTACTTAATTTTGTTAAGTTAAGAGATATATAAAGCAGGAGAAAGATTTAATATATATTATAAGACGGAATTTTTCATAATTATATATATATATATATATATATATATATATATATATATATATATATAGTTTCTTGTCATTGGCACACTGCGCAGCAATACTAAAGTTAAAATCGAATTAGAACAGATCTGTTATAGAAATAGGATTTCATAGCCTCTTCCTACCCTTATAATGTATTTGTTCCGCCCCTCAACTTATTTCATGATTCTCATCACGTCCTTAGCAAATGAAAGTTAATATTCTAACACACGGAATAATCATTGAGTATTTATGTGTGTATCCCACGAAACTGTTCTATGATCTATTTAAGTGCACCCATTAGTATTATTTTAATATCTGCTGCCCAGAGCCTTATTCCACTGCTACAACTCCGTAAAATGATTTCACTAGAATTGTGTTTTACTTTTGCTGCCTGTGGCAAGGCTGATTTGAAAACAAACACTTGACTAAGAACTCGAATGGAATATCGATTTTTGGGAGGTGAGATAAGGGCTGAACCAATTAATCGTTAGTTTCTGTGCTATGAGAGCGCTGCAAAAAAAAAACAAAAAAAACAACAACAAAAACAGCAAGTTTGCAATACATAAGGACTCGAGGTGGCTATAGCTGTACTTTTTTAAAAATAACTGGCCAAAAAATAAAATAATTACAGATATCAAATTTATCTGTGCGTTTCATTCACACCGTGAAATTATCAGAGAAATAAGGGGGGGGGGGTGATTGAATGGTTAGATCCAAGTGGCAGGTGCAAGGAGCCTACCTTGGAACCATTCCAGATTCAATTGAACAAAAGACTCATTGGTTTTCCTATTATATTTATACCAATAGTTCCTAAAACATGGATAAGTCCCTATATGTAGATTTAAGGCTGAGTACTGACTAGACTCGTCACTGCCCTGACTCAAAGAGCTTGTAGCTTTGCTGCTCACATGACTTTGCGTTGCCTATATCAATAATGTGCTAGTGGCGTGGGCGAAAAGGTTCACGGCTGCCTTGCAAAAATAGTGTATAGTTTTTCATCATTGATGTGACACACGCATTCCACATCTTAAATACATTACAGCTAAGATTTATATTTTCTTTAAAAGGTGGCAATCAGGTACATCATTTGGGTAAGCAGAGTGGGGCTTTCGCGCCCCCCCCCCCTGAATTTGCAGGTTTTATTTAAATTGCTGTGGCGCCTCCAGTAACAAACAACTTAACAAGCCAACCCCTCAAAAAACCTGAAACGGCGCCCCTGGTGGCAACAAAATAATTATGCTAAGCAAGAAAACTTGTATAATTACATATAATAAAACAAAAGATAATGCTTGACGAGACCTAGATAGTTTTGACACGCCAATAAACGCCGCACGGGGAGAAAGCCACCTAAGGGCAATGATGTCACGTCGCGTCCCTGTGTAGCGATCAACATATTCCATTTCAGTTCTGTGAGTTCAAGACCTCACCATGGCGGACCTGGAGATTGTTTTTGTGTTTCTATCTGCCATTCTAGGTAACACATTTTAACTTTTAAAATTGTTTTAAAATGGGTCAAATGTTTGAGCCAGTCGACTTTTCCCTTGATTACATTGTTATGTGTAATGTTACTAATAATATAGTCACTGTTTCATTACTGCGTGCAATACTCACCTGCAGTTTTTGTAAAGTGTATAGGTTTCTGGGCATTTCATAGCAACTGGTTTTAGGACATTAAAAAATCATCGTCAAATATTATCTGAAATTATTGATGGTAAGTGATTAATATATGACTTCACATCATGTTGATCTAAGATCTATGCGGGGCTCAGTATATATATATCATCCAACCCGATGATCCGCTAGTGGTTTTCACTGAAATTTCCTACGTTACCCTTGGACTGCCTGCTGATGTATACCATGTACCTGCTGATGTATACCATGTATTTGCTGATGTATACCATGTACCTGCTGATGCATAACATGTACATGCTGATGTATACCGTGTCCCTACTGATGTATACTATATACCTGCTGAGTAATACTACGCATCTACTCACCACACGTTAATGGTTTATCATTCTATACCAGTTGCACATTTATATTTGTTCCGTGGGACTGTAAGTCCAATGTAAGGCACCGAGTAAGTCCAATGTAGGGCACCGAGTAAGTTCACTGTAGGGCACCGAGTAAGTCCACTTTAGGGCACCGAGTAGGTTCTCTGTAGGGCACCGAGTAAGTCCACTGTAGGGCACCGAGTAGGTTCGCTGTAGGGCACCGAGTAGGTTCACTGTAGGGCACTGAGTAAGTCCATCGTAGGGCACCGAGTAAGTCCATCGTAGGGCACCGAGTAGGTTCACTGTAGGGCACCGAGTCCCCAGGTCATGGACAAATAGTCACAGTAACGTGAAGAAAATAGGTGAGAGCGATTGTGTTTGAAAAGAAAGGTTGAAAATGTGAATTCTTTCAACAATTGAACAAGGGACATTTAGGTTGATTACATTACAACGTTGTCTTACACGCCAACACAAACTGACGCTTCTCTACAACCACATCATCTGATACAACTCATCATACGTCTGACTGATTTTTGTCAAGTCAACATTCAAAATCAACAACTGTGTATCCCAAGTTTTTTATAATTTAAATACTTTTTTGTGTACACTGTATGAATGGCTATTCGCAGTGGCGTAGCTATAAGGTTATTGCCGCCTAGGGTGCAAGCTTTTACCTTCCCATTTCTACAACCCTGGCTATATGTTTCTATACTGTAACATATACACTATCTCGGGCTATAGCTTTCAATACTGTTACGTATATACACTATCTGGTGCTATAGGTTTCTATACTGTTACGTATCTATACGATAAGGGTCTATATATTTCTATACCTTTACATACATACACCATCGGGGGCTATATGCTTATGTTCAGCACATATAAATGTTCATATCATCGCTGGTATCTCATGCTCAATGTTGACCGCATGACAACCCGTGCCGTGACAGCTTGGCGGCACAGATGGGGTCTTCAAATGACGCCAGTTCATATCACAACAGATGGGGTGTTTACGCGATACCAGCTTACATCACAGCTGGGTACAGCTTCTTCATCCACTTCTTCCTCGTGTAACCTGGGGCTGACCAGTTATGAGTAAATAGCCCAACACGGCGGTCGGCTACCTGCGGCTTAGGATCCGCATGCGGCTCGTTCCATCAGTCTACATATATTGTTCTATAGAACTAGGGAATTAGGCTCGTTCCATCAGTCTACATATATTGTTCTATAGAACTAGGGAATTAGGCTCGTTCCATCAGTCTACATATATTGTTCTATAGAACTAGGGAATTAGGCTCGTTCCATCAGTCATGTATATAACAAGATATCTTGATCCCTTAATCCGAGCAAGGTAGTGTCTACATATATTGTTCTATAGAACTAGGGAATTAGGCTCGTTCCATCAGTCTGCATATATTGTTCTATGGAACTAGGGAATTAGGCTCGTTCCATCAGTCTGCATATATTGTTCTATAGAACTAGGGAATTAGGCTCGTTCCATCAGTCTGCATATATTGTTCTATAGAACTAGGGAATTAGGCTCGTTCCATCAGTCTGCATATATTGTTCTATAGAACTAGGGAATTAGGCTCGTTCCATCAGTCTGCATATATTGTTCTATATATTGTTCTATAGAATTAGGGAATTAATAATTCAGTTATATGCATCTTTTTAATTGGGTTTTTAAAATTAAAATGATCAGAAACAAAGTATTACTCCAGGTGCACATTCGCTATTACTCCAGGTGCACACTCGCTATTCCTCCAGGTGCACACTCGCTATTACTCCAGGTGCACATTCGCTATTAATCCAGGTGCACACTCGCTATTCCTCCAGGTGCACACTCGCTATTACTCCAGGTGCACATTCGCTATTACTCCAGGTGCACATTCGCTATTCCTCCAGGTGCACACTCGCTATTACTCCAGGTGCACATTCGCTATTACTCCAGGTGCGCATTCGCTATTCCTCCAGGTGCACACTCGCTATTACTTCAGGTGCACATTCGCTCTCCCAACACGCCACGCCTGAGGCTCCCTTATTATTTTCCCATCAGATATCATGAATAAAATGGCTCCTCGCGCAACAACGCCGCAGACAGCTGGGTCACATCCGTAGAAGTTGGCTTTGTGCGACAACGGAGGGGGGAAAGGGGGGCAGCTCCCCTAGGCGACAACACCCATGGGGCGCCAATCCATGATAAAAGTTTATGCCGAGACAGAAGTTTGGGGGGTGGGCATGTTCAGGCTCCGCCACGGGCGCAGCTTTTATTCCTTCCGCCAGCTCTGAGTTCAAGGAAAAGGTGACTGAACACAACCATTTTTATTTTCATAAGTTTCAGCGAATTTTAAAATAAAGCATTACAAATGTGATTAGGCCTGCTTTAAATAATTATTTCAGGTAGATATTCACATCGGAAATGGGAAATAAAAATTACGTTTCATTCTTCCCCTTTTTATTGTTGTTTGTTTGTTCACTTTTTAAAACTCCCAGACCTTAAAGGGCCTTTATATATTCTGTGATGTGAGTGACCCCCCATAAAACTTCTCTTGAGCCAAGCACTGTGTTATTTCTTTATCTTAGCCAGTCGCGGCATGAACTTCCGCAGTAGTTGGTCCGCGACCGATTATAAGAGACATAATGGCTCCAGGTATTGTGAAATAGTTCAATAGAATCAAAGGTAGCTGGAGTTTAATCTCTTAAACCAAAGTGCAGTTTTTTTTGGTGAGAAGTAAGGGCGTGGACCAGATTTTTAAACGCGATCGAACAAATAAGGAATAAAGTAGCTGAAATAAAAACATTCATCAAGGGGAGATACGTTCCGCCCATTAGTACTGGGGCAAGTGTGAGGCTGGCACAAGTGTGAGGCTGGCACAAGTGTGAGGCTGTGACAAGTGTGAGGCTGGCACAAGTGTGAGGCTGGCACAAGTGTGAGGCTGGCACAAGTGTGAGGCTGGGACAAGTGTGAGGCTGTGACAAGTGTGAGGCTGTGACAAGTGTGAGGCTGGCACACGTGTGAGGCTGGGACATGTGTGAGGCTGTGACAAGTGTGAGGCTGTGACAAGTGTGAGGCTGTGACAAGTGTGAGGCTGTGACAAGTGTGAGGCTGTGACAAGTGTGAGGCTGTGACAAGTGTGAGGCTGTGACAAGTGTGAGGCTGTGACAAGTGTGAGGCTGTGACAAGTGTGAGGCTGTGACAAGTGTGAGGCTGTGACAAGTGTGAGGCTGTGACAAGTGTGAGGCTGTGACAAGTGTGAGGCTGTGACAAGTGTGAGGCTGTGACAAGTGTGAGGCTGTGACAAGTGTGAGGCTGTGACAAGTGTGAGGCTGTGACAAGTGTGAGGCTGTGACAAGTGTGAGGCTGTGACAAGTGTGAGGCTGTGACAAGTGTGAGGCTGTGACAAGTGTGAGGCTGTGACAAGTGTGAGGCTGTGACAAGTGTGAGGCTGTGACAAGTGTGAGGCTGTGACAAGTGTGAGGCTGTGACAAGTGTGAGGCTGTGACAAGTGTGAGGCTGTGACAAGTGTGAGGCTGTGACAAGTGTGAGGCTGTGACAAGTGTGAGGCTGTGACAAGTGTGAGGCTGTGACAAGTGTGAGGCTGTGACAAGTGTGAGGCTGTGACAAGTGTGAGGCTGTGACAAGTGTGAGGCTGTGACAAGTGTGAGGCTGTGACAAGTGTGAGGCTGTGACAAGTGTGAGGCTGTGACAAGTGTGAGGCTGTGACAAGTGTGAGGCTGTGACAAGTGTGAGGCTGTGACAAGTGTGAGGCTGTGACAAGTGTGAGGCTGTGACAAGTGTGAGGCTGTGACAAGTGTGAGGCTGTGACAAGTGTGAGGCTATGACAAGTGTGACGCTGTGACAAGTGTGAGGCTGGCACATGTGTGAGGCTGGTACATGTGTGAGGCTGTGACAAGTGTGAGGCTGTGACACGTGCGAGGATGGCACAAGTGTGAGGCAGTGACAAGTGTGAGGCTGTGACAAGTGTGAGGCTGGCACAAGTGTGAGGCTGGGACAAGTGTGAGGCAGGCACAAGTATGAGGCAGTGACAAATGTGAGGCTGGCACACGTGTGAGGCTGCACAAGTGTGAGGCTGTGACAAGTGTGATTCTGGTACATGTGTGAGGCTGTGACAAGTGTGAGGCTGTGGCAAGTGTGAGGCTGGCACATGTGTGAGGCAGTGACAAGTGTGAGGCTGGGACAAGTGTGAGGCTGGCAAAAGTGTGAGGCTGTGACAAATGTCAGGCTGTGACCAGTGTGAGGCTGTGACAAGTGTGAGGCTGTAACATTTGTGTAGCTGTGACAAGTGTTAGGTTGTGATAAGTGTGAGGCTGGGACAAGTGTGGGGCTGTGGTAAGTGTGAGGCTGTCACAAATGTGAGGCTGGCACATGTGTGAGGCTATGACAAGTGTGTGGCTGTGACAAGTGTGAGGCTGTGACAAATGTGAGGCTGTGACAAATGTCAGGCTGTGAAAAGTGTGAGGCTGGCACATGTGTGAGGCTGTGACAAGTGTGAGGCTGGCACATGTGTGAGGCTGGGACAAGTGTGAGGCGGGCACATGTGTGAGGCTGTGACAAGTGTGATCCTGGAACATGTGTGAGGCTGTGACAAGTGTGAGGCTGGTATATGTATGAGGCTGGCACAAGTGTGAGGCTGGCACAAGTACGAGGCTTGTACAAGTGTAAGGCTGGCACAAGTGCGAGGCTGGCACAAGTGTGAGGCTTGCACATGTGTGAGGCTGTGACAAGTGCAAGGCTGGCACAAGTTTGAGGCTGTGACAAGTGTGAGGCTTGCACATGTGTGAGGCTGTGAACAGTGTGAAGCTGCCCCATGTTTTAGGCTGTGACAAGTTTGAGGCTGTGACAAGTGTGATATTGGCACAATTGTGAGGCTGGCACAAGTGTGAGGCTGGCACAAGTGTGAGGCTGGCACAAGTGTGAGGCTGGCACAAGTGTGAGGCTGTGACAAGTGTGAGGCTGGCACAAGTGTGAGGCAGTGACACGTGTGAGTCTGGCACAAGTGTGAGGCTGGCACAAGTTTGAGGCTGTGACAAGTGTGACGCTGTGACAAGTGTGAGGCTGGCACATGTTTGAGTCTGGTACATGTGTGAGGTTGTGACAAGTGTGAGGCTGTGACACGTGCGAGGATGGCACAAGTGTGAGGCAGTGACAAGTGTGAGGCTGTGACAAGTGTGAGGGTGGCACAAGTGTGCGGCTGTGACAAGTGTGAGGCTAGCACAAGTATGAGGCAGTGACAAGTGTGAGGCTGGCACACGTGCGAGGCTGCACAAGTGTGAGGCTGTGACAAGTTTGATTCTGGTACATGTGTGAGGCTGTGACAAGTGTGAGGCTGTGGCAAGTGTGAGGCTGGCACATGTGTGAGGCAGTGACAAGTGTGAGGCTGGGACAAGTGTGAGGCTGGGACAATTGTGAGGCTGGCAAAAGTGTGAGGCTGTGACAAATGTGAGGCTGTGAACAGTGTGAGGCTGTGACAAGTGTGAGGCTGTAACATGTGTGAGGCTGTGACAAGTGTGAGGCTGTGACAAGTGTGAGGCTGTGACAAGTGTGAGGCTGGGACAAGTGTGAGGCTGGCACAAGTGTGAGGCTGGGACAAGTGTGAGGCTGGCACATGTGTGAGGCTGGGACAAGTGTGAGGCTGGCACATGTGTGAGGCTGTGACAAGTGTGAGGCTGGCACATGTGTGAGGCTGTGACAAGTGTGAGGCTGGCATATGTGTGAGGCTGGGACAAGTGTGAGGCTGGGACAAGTGCGAGGCTGGCACAAGTGTGAGGCTGGCACAAGTGTGAGGCTGGCACAAGTGTGAGGCTGGTACATGTGTGAGGCTGTGACAAGTGTGAGACTGGCACATGTGTGAGGCTGTGAACAGTGTGAAGCTGCCACGTGTGTGAGGCTGTGACAAGTTTGAGACTGTGACAAGTGTGAGGCTGGCACAAGTGTGATGCTGTGACAAGTGTGAGGCTGTGACAAGTGTGAGGCTGTGACAAGTGTGAGGCTGTGACAAGTGTGAGGCTGGCACATGTGTGAGGCTGTGACAATTGTGAGGCAAACGTGACGTCATTAGAACCATGAGGAAATGTCACTAAATTGTTGAAAAATAGTGAGAAATATATATATATATATTATTTGCGGAATATTCTTAAAATAACTGAAATTAAAACACTAAGTTTCTTCAGAAATGTATGCTCAGTACGCCTCATAGCAATTCAATTAAGTGTTGACCACATAATATGCCAGTCATGAACTCAACAGCTTCCATCAAAGTTGTCAACGTCTCATTTAAAGGTTTGGGAACTTCCAAAATGTGTAGCATGCACTCCGCTCTTAGCAAGGGGCGCCTTCCCTGTTAGGGGAGTGGAGGAAGGCCGTATTCCAAAAGGAGCTGCTGTATAGAGAGTTGGCAGAAAGGGACACGACTTACTGAACGGCAGCGATTTAAGGACGTTCGCAAAAGGAACACGAGGGAAGCCGACATGGACAGCAACGCATGGGAGAGCATCGCTGAGCACCGTTCGTGGTGGCGCAACAGCAGTGTGTGAAGGAGTCAAACAGGCAGGAGAAGGTGCGCGAAACAAAAAGAGCGTTACAGATGTCTAGATTTAACCGCGAGTCAAGGTTCTCCTGCCAGAAATGCAGCCGCGGCTCTCGTTAGCCATTTGATGACGTCTCCATAGCTACTCCATCTTCTCGCGAAGACGAAATGATGCACTCTCTCCCCCTTCTCTCTCTCTCTCGCGCGCTCTCTCTCTCTAAATATATATATATATATATATATATATATATATATATATATATATATATATATATATATATATATATATACACACACACACAAGTGTGAGGCTGTGACAAGTGTGAGGCTGGCACAATTGTGAGGCTGGTACAAGTGTGAGGCTGTGAAAAGTGTGAGGCTGTGAAAAGTGTGAGGCTGTGACAAGTGTGAGGCTGGCACAGTGTGAGGCTGTGACAATTGTGAGGCTGTGAAAAGTGTGAGGCTGTGACAAGTGTGAGGCTGTGACAAGTGTGAGGCTGTGACAAGTGTGAGGCTGTGACAAGTGTGAGGCTGTGACCAGTGTGAGGCTGTGACAAGTGTGAGGGTGGCACATGTATGAGGCTGTGACAAGTGTGAGGCTGTGACAAGTGTGAGGCTGGGACAAGTGTTGGGCTGTGACAAGTTTGAGGCTGTGACAAGTGTGTGGCTGGCACATGTGTGAGGCTGTGACAAGTGTGAGGCTGTTACAAGTGTGAGGCTGTGACAAGTGTGAGGCTGGGACAAGTGTGAGGCTGTGACAAGTGTGAGGCTGGCACATGTGTGAGGCTGGGGCAAGTGTGAGGCTGGCACATGTGTGAGGCTGTGACAAGTGTGAGGCTGGCACATGTGTGAGGCTGTGACAAGTGTGAGGCTGGCATATGTGTGAGTGTGAGGCTGTGACAAGTGTGAGGCTGTGACAAGTGTGAGGCTGTGACAAGTGTGAGGCTGGGACAAGTGTGAGGCTGGGACAAGTGTGAGGCTGGGACAAGTGTGAGGCTGGCACATGTGTGAGGCTGTGACAAGTGTGAGGCTGGCACATGTGTGAGGCTGTGACAAGTGTGAGGCTGGCACAAGTACGAGGCTTGCACAAGTGTAAGGCTGGCACAAGTGCGAGGCTGGCACAAGTGTGAGGCTTGCACATGTGTGAGGCAGTGACAAGTTCAAGGCTGGCACAAGTTTGAGGCTGTGACAAGTGTGAGGCTGGCACATGTGTGATGCTGTGAACAGTGTGAAGCTGCCCCATGTTTTAGGCTGTGACAAGTTTGAGGCTGTGACAAGTGTGATGCTGGCACAATTGTGAGGCTGGTACAAGTGTGAGGCTGTGAAAAGTGTGAGGCTGTGAAAAGTGTGAGGCTGTGACAAGTGTGAGGCTGGCACAGGGTGAGGCTGTGACAATTGTGAGGCTGTGAAAAGGGTGAGGCTGTGACAAGTGTGAGGCTGTGACAAGTGTGAGATAGATATATATATCACTATTAGAGTTATGGTTAGAGTGAGACATACTGATATATACTGACACATATACACACATATATATATATATATATATATATATATATATATATATATATATATATATATATATATGTATGTATACACACACACACATACAGGGGCGTACATTTATCCTCCTGCCTCAGTTGAAAATACTTCTAGCCTGGCTCAGCTGCTCACATTGCTTCACTGCTTGCCTTTTCCATCTTTTTTTTTGTAACACTATATCAATGTTACATCCAGAATGACAATACAAAAAAAAGTTGTTACATCCACAACGACAGACAGCCGAAACACAAGTATTATGAAATGTTGTATGCAGAGCTGATAATGATGTATCCCGACTGACAATGTTGTTTGCAGACTTACAATGCTATTGCTATGCATAATGTATCATGTTTTTTTGTTGTTGTTTTTCTTTTTGACAAAGGGAGTGCACTCTGTGAATATTGCACGAAAAGGAAATTTTACTTTTACAGTAGCTTTGACTATCAGTATCAGACCATCTACTGTCCCTTTGGCTGCTGTGGACCATTCAGTGATGAGTACTGCTGTATTGGCAAGTGAGTCCCGGGTCTATGTTTAAGGGGTCGTTCGTAAATTATGTCACGCCAAAAAGGACCTTTTTTAGACCCCCCCCCACTGTCACGAAATGTCACACATTCTCCCCCCCCCAACCGTGTTACGTCACACTTAAATAAAAAGCAAAACATACATACAACTGTCATACCGGTAACTAAACTAAGATTTTATTTTATTCTTTAACATTTTCCCATAATGGATTAGGATGTCGTATTATTAGAACAACTGTGACGTAAAACAACGAAGTCGTCCCCGAGCCGAATGTAATATGGTAATATGGCCACGACAGTTTTTGCGTCATTTGTCGATATGCGCAAAAGGTGTGCGCGACTGAGTTTCATAGTACCTGTAATAGCTGAGGCAATTTCGACCTCAAATTAATGCTTTTTAAAATTAATTAAATAAAGATTTTTCAAAATTAGAAAATTTTAGATTAATTTTTTTTAAAATGACGTCACAACTTTTTGACACCCCCCTCCTCCCTCTGTCACGAATTATCGACACCCCGCTCCCTGAGCATGATTTAATTTGCGAACGACCCCTAAACAGCCTCATATACATTATTACCCTCTTTTCACATGTAGTTGTGTTAATGGTGCTTCACCTTAAGCTCTGTAAATTAATTGTCTAGCCTAAAGCCCAAAGGCTACTATTAAGAACACTCCATGTGTAGTTGGCTAAACCACGGGCCACAAGAAGCCTTAAAGCGAGCATACATAGATAGAGGGTATTCATCGACATCCTACAACAGTCACGGTGAGATGTCATCAATTTTATTGCCTTATGTATCGACCACTTCCAACATACATGATGGACTACACTGAGTTCCTCAATATTTTGTGTTTCCATTCAAGTGCTGGCTATATTGTTGGCATAGTGGTGGCCGCCATTGCCGGCATCGCCATGCTGGTCGCCGTGATCTGCTGCTGCATCAAGAAATCCGGGGCCAAAGGACGAGTTGTGCATCCCACGATTGTAGGTGGCGTGCCAGCTGTCACAACCCAATACACACAATCTACAGGATTCGTGGGACCCTCAGGTGAGTCAGAACCACGTGTGTGGGGGAGAGGGACGGGGGTGTGAGGTAAGTAGTGGGGGGAGGGGGGTGCAAAGGAAGATAGTGGGTTAGATCAGGTCAAACTAAAAGTTTCTATAGTCACATTCAAAACATCATTAGATGGTATATCATTTATGTAAAGATACATTTTTTGTTAAGCATCCCATATATTTGTGGTAAAGTTATTTTCCCAAACATTGTAATTGTGTAAGTTGATTGAATGTGCACTGTATGAATGTATCCGAAAAAATGGGATAATGCTACTAAATGCTACTAAATGCTAATAAATGCTACTAAATGCTACTAAATGATTCTAAATGCTACTAAATGCTACTAAATGCTACTAAATGCTACTAAATGCAACTAAATGCTACTAAATGCTACTAAATGCTACTAAATGCTACTAAATGATAATAAATGATATTAAATGATACTAAATGATACTAAATGATAATAAATGATAATAAATGCTACTAAATGCTACTAAATGCTACTAAATGCTACTAAATGCGACTAAATGCTACTAAATGATGCTAAATGATACTAAATGATACTAAATGACATGGGTAAAACCCTATTTTAACACGTCAACTATTTACTTTAATTAAGGTGGTGGTAGGAGGAGGAAAAAAATGTCATTAATTGAGCTTGAGTTAGAGGAGGTAGGATCATGCTACAACAAAAATTGACAACTCTAAGCCTGCATGATCAAATAGTTTGTAAACTCTGTGAATAAAGTAGACAAAGAATAGATCAATTGTATTGTAACCAAAGTAGACAATGAACTGATACATTGTATTGTAACCAAAGTAGACAATGAACAGATACATTGTGTTGTAACCAAAGTAGACAATGAACAGATACATTGTATTGTAACCAAACTAGACAATGAACAGATACATTGTATTGTAACCAAAGTAGACAATCAACAGATACATTGTATTGTAACCAAAGTAGACAATGAACACACCCATTGTATTGTCACCCACCCAACTTGTCATTCGATTGCCACCTGCCAAACAACCAGCGGCGGCCTCGCTAACGGGAGAAACCCCGCGGTGTCACTGACGGTTGCCAACGACTGCGTTGGGTTGTCTTGTTTAAGTCATAATTTATTTACAAATTGATTGTGTGTATATGTGGGGGTGTGTGTGTGGGGGGGGGGCTCATCTGTACCCATACAGAGGATGAGATCCGAAAATGTATGGAAAGAACGAAAGAAATGGCGGGCCGGGGGGGGGGGGGGTGAAAATATCTCTTTTTGCATTTCTATTGTATGGATTGCCACTGACAATGTTACAAAACGAGATTGCTGTGATATAAATAAATCAAATATGTGGGGGTGTGTGTGTGGGGGGGGGGCTCATCTGTACCCATACAGAGGATGAGATCCGAAAATGTATGGAAAGAACGAAAGAAATGGCGGGCCGGGGGGGGGGTGGTGAAAATATCTCTTTTTGCATTTCTATTGTATGGATTGCCACTGACAATGTTACAACACGAGATTGCTGTGATATAAATAAATCATTTATAGAAACATAATCTTTTCATGTTTTTTTTTTAAATAAGTGAAAAAATAAAAATTGAAATCGCTATTTGTATTGTAATTTTCGTTATTAAAAAAACTCATCCAAATGCAGGTGAGTTTATAATGAAATAAGTTGCTATCTCATCTTCTCCCACAGCTCCGCCCTCGTACTCATCGGTGGCGTACACGAGTTATGGGGGAATGTACCCCCAGCCCGCCATGCCCCCACCCTACCCTTACCCTCCTGGGCCTGGGGTGGCGCCCTTGAACCCAGCCTATGACCAGACAGGTCAACACCAAGCCTTCGCCAAGCAGACTGGAGCCTTCGAGACACCAACCTACAGCTCCCCGGCGTCGAATGGGTTCAACTGACCCCAACTGACCATGAGGCGCCAGGTGGTCAAGGTTATTTGAGAGCAGCGGTTCTTAAGCGGGTGTTCAGTGAACTGTCGTCCTGCTATGCAACAATTTACTGGCACGAACGATAACTGCGAAAATGTGTTTTAGGCTATTAAGGGGAGGTAATTCAAGTAAATAATAATAATAATATCCCTGAATGCTTTCGGGGGAGGGGAGCGGTATTTTATAGTAGACATGAATATAGTAACTATAAATAATGTATTTTTGCGCTCCTTGAAATTGTTTTGTATTACCCTAACATCTTTCTCAAGGTATATTAATTTTTTTTTTCAAACGCAATTTCGGCAAATAATAAAAGTAGCAGCATTTTCTCCCTCGGAACCAAGCAGTTAAGTTTTTTAACAACCCTGTGATCCTAGCCATTCAATAATGAGATCGTTTCAACATGATAGTATTTTGATCATCAGAGTTGGTGATGGACATCATGGATAAGATGTTACGCAGCGGAACTGAACACTGATATTTAGTGTCATATAAAAAAAACAAATTCGTGGTCAAAATAATGTGACAAATTTAATTCACGCCCTTAAAAATAGATTTAAAGAAGAAGAAAAAAAATGGTATCATCAAAACTGTTTGAGACACGCTGGGTCTAAATATGTTGAAAACTGTAAAGTGTAACTCATCCATACATTCATCACTAAAAACGATAAGTGGACTTCTAATCAAAAAGCAAATCTACATTTAATGAAACAATTTCAATGCCATGTTCACGAACGACAATCGCGGGGGGAGGGGGGGGGGGGCCAAAAAACGTGGTTTCAGTCTTTGAGCAATATTTCATTTGTGGTAATTTATTATTGTTATTTTTTTAAAAACTAATTTTTCAACTTACTTTTGAAAATGAATATTGTATTAGAAACTTTACAAATGACTGCTGATATGTTTTTGAATGATGTTAAAGAAAAAACGATTTTTTTTCAAGAAATTCCCTGTGAAATGTATTCATTTGTTTGTTGAATGAGTAAAAATATTTTTTTTCATATCTTTTCTATAGACGTGATGCTAGTGGAACATTTTAAAATGCTGCACATAATCTACTAAATNGGGGGGGGGGGGTGAGAGGGTCGGTTGGATAATATAAAAAAAAAACAAAAAAAACGACACTTTTATCTACAACAGATATATTGGTTTGTGTTTTATTTTATAAAATATGCATGTGTGCGTAAATAAGGCAAAGAAGAAAAAGGTGTGTGGGGGGGGGTGGAGGGGGCCTTTAAAGAGGCTTTAATGTCCACACTATATCCAACACTGTCAAGTGAATTGTGGGGGTGAGGGGTGGTGGTGTTAATATATCCAACACTGTCAAGTGAAGCTTAAACATTTCCAATGTCAAAAATATATTTAAAATAAATTTAACGTTGCTCTTAATTAAAATATTTAAAACAGTATTTTGTTACATTTAGGTTGTTCAGATAAAAAAAATTTGTAAGTTAATAAAGTTAAATTTCTTTTTTATGCACATACACATACTCATGCACATACTCATGCACATACACATACACATGCACATACACATGCACACACATCTACATACACATGCACATACTCATGCACATACACATGCACATACACATACACATGTACATACTCATGTACATACATATGTACATACACATGCACACACACATCTACATGCACATGCACATACTCATGCACATACCCATGCACATACACATGCACATACTCATGCACATGCACATACACATGCACATACACATGCACATACACATGCACATACTCATGTACATACATATGCACATACACATGCACACACACACATCTACATACACATGCACATACACATGCACATACTCATGTACATACATATGCACATACACATGCACACACACATCTACATACACATGCACATACTGATGCACATACACATGCACATATACAAAACTAACCACACTCCAAATTGTGTGAACCTCCATCCAATTTATAAATAAAAAACCTTTTTTAAACTGCTGATCTGTGTACCAAAAAATGTAAATAAAATCTTTACCATACACCGCCTTCAATATGAATGTGATAGATTGACATGCGATAAATTACCATGACATGCAGCTTACCCTAAATGTCAATATTAGTTATTGATTTTTTTTAAAAATTAGATTATTTTAACTGTAACGGTTAATTTTAAATGATTTTTTTTTACGACAAGCTTTACATCTGCATTTCCTATTTCATTCTATCTCGGAAAATCCATTTTTTTAAAAGTTACTTCAAGTTTAGTAATGGTGCCACTGTGAGAAAATTAAGTAATTCCAATCATTATAAAAGTTCGAATGAACTGTCGAAAAAGACAAGCTAAAATTTATCTCTAAATAATTATTTTATAAAACCATTGTTCATTAATATCCTTTATCAAAATTAATGTTAATAAATGTTACAATGCAAACTTCTATATTGCTATAATTATATTTATTATACGACCAAAACAATAAATATAATTGATATAATAAACACTCTCTCGAGTCTTGATTTGGTTTGTTTATTTTGTTTCGTTTATCAATGTGTCTTCCCACAAAGAACTTTTAATTTACTTATAATCTCCACCCCCAAAAGTTTTTATTTACATGTCCACACCTTTTAATCTGACTTTACAAACCCAATGGAGACTCGATTCTTGTCTTAAATCACAAGAATGACGTCATCATTAAGAATTGGTGATTCAAGAAAAAAAAATCTTTGCTAAAATTAGTTGTTTAATCCCCATTTTGATCTGAATCAAAACACCTTAACTCAGTATAAACAATACAAAAGTTAATTAAATAAGAAAGAAACATCATACACATTTTATCTCACACCCAAAATATTTAATTATGAAAGGACTAAATGTATCTTATGACGTCAAATTTCACTCAAACACTGCTGCCTCCCCCCCCCCCACACCCTTTTTTTTTTAGAGGAAAAAACAACAACATTGCTCCTATCATAATCTTGAGTCCCCACTTGTCAAGATCAAAGAACCACTGTTAATGTCAATAGTGTCAATAAAGGGTGAGGTGTCATGGTACATGATGGATGATTTTTTCACTTGAGATATACATTAGATTTTTTGTGTTTGAATCGATCTTGTTTGACATTGTTAAATTGCTAAGAATGGCTAACATTTTGCCAACCATGAATATGCAGGCCACAATGTATTCGAAACACATTTAAAATTAATTGGATCGATAAAAGAATCGTGTCGTATCTCTTGTCCTGACACCACATCCCTCGTATCGATTGATTGATTGATTGATTTATCGATTGATTGATTGATCGATTGACTGATTGATCGATTGATCGATTGATCGATTGATTGATTGATCGATTGATCGATTGATTGATTGATCGATTGATCGATTGATCTATTGATCGATTGATCTATTGATCGATCGATTGATTGATCGATGGATTGATCGATCGATCGATTGATCTATTGATTGATTGATTGATTGATTGATTGATTGATTGATTGATCGATCGATCGATTGATTGATTGATTGATTGATTGATTGATTGATTGATTGGTTGATTGGTTGATTGATTGATTGATCGATTGATTGATTGGTTTCTGGGTTTTCTTGCGTTTGAAGTTTTTGTTTCCAGCGTAGAAGAACGAACGTTCCCCCCCCCTACCAACAAATGTCTATTTGATGTGAAAGAGTATATTTTAATGTTGATCGCTGTTAGATCTGAAAGATGTTATTTGGCTATTCAATAAAATGCAAGAGTGAACTTTTTAAAATTACCTTATTGTTATTTAAAATTGTCTAGAATCTATGAAAACCACTTTAAGAGTTGGAGAGTATGCTAGCAAAGTATGTTGCCGTTGGTCGAGATTAGTTAAAAGAAAAACAATAATAAAAAAAAAAATATATATATAAAATATAATTCAGGATTCTCTATTTCGCATTCTTGTCTTTAAGATCTCTGAATATTTAGCTTTAGTTATTGGGATGAAGCGATTTCTCAACTTTGAAATGGACAACATGTTGGAATGTACGAGCCGATTTCACCATGCATTGCTATTGTTTTTATTCCTATACGCATTTTTATACTTGTTTATTTAGCTTGCAATGTTGTCGGTTTTTTGTGTTGTCCGGGCAACATCTCGTAACACAATTTTCGACCTGTTACCTTCATCCGATGCACTTGAAATTTTGTATCGTCACTCGATCTCGGTGACATTACATGATCGGAGGGTCAGCAGTGACCTCCATTGACCATTGCGTGATCTTAAAGGGGCAAAATATGGCATCTCGATGTTGACCCACCTCCTGATTTCCAACTGAGCTGAGACTTTGTACAACCACCCATCCCCCAATCACAGTACAATTCTACATGGTCAGTAGGTCAGCAGTGGCATCCACTGACGCTTGAGTGTCCACTGCGAGTGAAATCTTGCACCTCAGATTTGACCCACCTCTTGATCTCCCCTTGAGCAGAAACTTTGTAACCCCCCCCCCCCCC